GCTCTTCTTTTTTTCTGTCACATGAGGCCAGTAACTTCGGAGCAAACGTGATCTGTGTTTGGGGAAACCCTTATTTCTTTTAGGACCCGTTCAGAAATAAGTCTCTTCAGTTGTTGGTCTGTAACCTGTTTTTGGTAGACCGCGCACACGTATCAGGCACACGTACATGTTCAGTCCTTTGCAATCACATAGTAGCCATTAAAATAAATAAAAGCTGGCACCAACAAGTTTAGAACTAGTTGGTACTTCTGTTCGCAGTGTGTCCTGAAGAACATCTGACTTTGATAAATATTTACAGGGTTGTGTGTTGTGTTTTTTTCCCAACTTTTTCAATTTTTTGACTCTTTAAAAAGGTTATTCACAAAGTAGACACTTCATACCAACATTAGCATTCTCTGTGCACCTCCTGAATCTTTTGTACTAGGTGAACCGAGACAGTACACAAACACATCTCTCCCACCTCCACGCTGTGTTGTTTTTTTGTTTTGTTTTTTCCTTTGACACCAATGACACCAGTTGCGTCAAAAACCCGTGCTTGTTGATCCTCCATCTGTAAGCTTGCTGTTTAGCTGCCAGGATCATTCAGGAAGTTTTCCATTACATAGTTTGGGTGTTGAACATATATACACATTGTGATGGTAACAGTTTTCAAACCCTGATAAATCTCATCTTTGTAAACTTTGAGAGATAACCTTAATATCTAAATGAAATTAAAAAATTAAATATTTTTAGAGACTAAACTTTGAAGTATATATCATACTGGAAAATACATCAGCACAGTAATTTTTAATGTTTCAACATATCCTCCCACTTGAATCTTAATATTCTTGGAGAAATTTAAAGTTTCCCCTTACAACAATATATTTTTATAGCCCTCTTCACTGTTCAAATATTTATTGAATGCTGTGTACAAGTAGTTTAAATTTCCCTAATAATATCAAAGAATTTGAAAACTTTGACTTCAGACCCTAGGGAGAACCTTAGTTATCATTAAGTCCAATTTCCTTTTTAAAGATGAATGAGTGAAGGCATAGGAAAGTGATGCGATTTGTCTTAAGTTTTATACCCAGTAGTGTTATATTCCTTGTTAATAACTACTTCCCAAACTTAGCGGAGCATAAAAACACTGGAGATGTTTTGTTTTTTTTAATATAGATTTTTATCCTGGAATTACTGAGTTAGTGTCTAGGGGTGGAGCCCAGAACTTTATTTAATTTATTAACCCTAGTAATTTTGATGCAACCATTATAGCATAGATCAGCATATAAGAATATGAGCTGTAATGCCTGTCTTTGAGTACTTCACCAAAAAAAAAAAAAAAAATCAGTCATGTTATGGAAGTGTTTTAGCTCTAAGATGATTAAGCACTTTAATATAAAACTTGAGACTTAGATATAATGAGACACCATTTTACATGTTTTTTCAAAGTAAAGTCTGGCCTTTTCCAGCAAAACAGGAGCTTGGTGCAAGATAGGCCAGAGTACCAATCCATGATGTACAATTTAGTAGCTCTGAAAGCTGGGTAAGTCTTTAAACTTTTGTTTCTTACTGTAAAACACATGCACATACAAGATAGGTGTGAAAGAATCAAATAATGAAAGGTTTAGGGTTTGGTGCAGATAAGGAAGAGACTTCCTGCAGAGCTCTGAAGGACAAAGATGAGCAGGCAAAGGAAAGGAAAGCTTTCTGAATGGACTGTCTTGGAGAAGGAAAAGCACAAGGCATGTTTGTAAAATTAAGAGCCCTTGAAAGAAGAGATAAAGGAAGCATAGTGGGACGAGATGAGCTGTGCTCTGCAAGATTTGCTGGCAGTGTTAAAGTCTTTTTTCTATCTCAAATTTGAGAAACTGATGTTTATGTGAGGTAGTCAATGTTTGTTTATTGAAGCGAGGAACTGCATTAATCTGCCTATCAATAAAACTAAGATATGAGACAAATCACTTAGCTCTGAGCCTTAATTTTCCACATCCAGAAAATGAGAATTTTAAAGACTGAATAATAGATATAAAAACAATAAAATATCATATATTGTTATTTTTTTCTAAATGCCAAATAAAAGAATGACCTTTTAATTAGGAATAGAAAATTAAAGATACCAAATCATTACTCCCAATGCAATTGTTATTGGAACTACTAATTTTTCTTTCTCCTGCTTTTATGTCTGACACTGACACACAAAGGCACATATCATTTTACCATTTCCATGTGGCACTCATCCAAAAAGAATGCTGACGATGTTATAATAATATGTGTGTTTTTTAAAAAATTGTTCCACCTTTACAACTGCTTCCGCTTATCCCTTCAGTTAAATAGAATTCTGAGTATATTACTGAATCTTCTTTTTATCATTTGAATTTAGAATTGTTGTTCTGTTTTAATAACATCTGTTTTCTGCCTGCTAGTTTGTAAAATCATTGAGGACATAAGGTATGCCTGGTTTTGTTCATTGTTTTATCCCCTGTTTCTAGTACATGGTCTGTAATTCAATAAATATTTGTTGGCTAGGAAGATATCTAGAAAGGAATCACATTTTCTGTACACTAGCAGAAAAGTAGTGCCTGGAGTTGCAGCTGTGCTTTTTAAGTACCTATTAAGTGGCTTAGGATAAATAAGAGACACAACATAGGGTGATGGAGAGAACATGAGCTTTGAAGTCAAAAGAACCTAAGTCTGGAGGCTGGGGGTGTGGCTCAGTGGTTGAGCACTTGCCTAGCACATATGAGGTACTGGGTCCATATTCAGCACTACATTTAAAAAAATAAATTATTGTGTCCATCTACAACTAAAAATAATCTTTAAAAAATACAAGTCTGAATCTTAAATCTGTCATTGGCTCTCTGACCATAGACAAACCCCTCTCCTTTCCTAGGTGTGGTTTTTTTAATCTAAAAATGTAAATAACGCTGCCTTGACTTGTTAGTAATATAAACAGTCTAGGATAGTATCTTGTGTTATACTAACAGGCAGTTATTTTCTTAATACATAATAATATTAAATAAGTTGTATATGGGCAGATTTCTCCCCAAAAGCAAAGACCTTATTAAAAAATTCATAATCAGTTTATTAAAAAGGATAATACTTTGTCTAGGCTAAAAATTGGAAATTTGTTCAAACAGGAAACCAAGTTATTTCAAAAATGATACATATTTCCTAGGGCTTGTGTAGTAAATACTCAGGATTTTAATTCAAATTCATTGATTTGATGACAAAATGTGATACAATTATGTGCGAAAGCACTAGGTGCTGAAGATACAGTAATGAAAAACAGTTAAGACTTAAATTCTAGTTCAGAGACAAACAGCAAACAATAATTAGATTAGAGCTGAAAACTGTGTAGGAAATACACCATGGATATATAGGAGAGTGGGAATATGGAAAGCTACTTTAAATAGGAATATCGGTATAAAAATTTTCCATAGCTCTGAGAAATTTCTGAAGACTACAGAGAGTTGGGCAGTTTCTGTTCTCTGGTAATTAAGAGTTGAGACAATGATCTCAAAAGCATTTGATACGTATCATATTACAATTTTAGACAAGCTCTTAACAAAACATTTTTAATTACTAAAAGAAAAACATTGAATGTTTGCTATGTACAGAATAATAAAATAGACTTAGATAAAAGAAAGGCATGGAGGGGTCCAATTAACTTGTGTGAGGTTACAAAACTCCTAAATAGAAGAGTTAGAACTATATTTAAATATGTGGGGAAAATGGTTTAGAAGCCAAAGTATGATACCTCTATCTGCTATTAAAAGGAGGGAAAAAATTATCTTTTCTTTTCAGATTTCTTGACCACCACAACCAAGGAAGGATATGACAGAAGGCCAGTGGACATAACTCCTTTAGAACAAAGGAAATTAACTTTTGATACCCATGCATTGGTTCAGGACTTGGAAACTCATGGTAAGATACAGGAATACCTCTTGAAGGAAGAAACTTAATAGCATTTATGAATCACCTAGGTAAGACTATTGCTATTATGAGCAATTAAGAGTAACTATTTAAGTAGTTACAACATTTCACACAATAGAATATTTTACAGTCATTAAAAATGGTATTGCTTGAAGAATATTGACTGATATGGGAAATACTAAAGATATATTAATGAAAAAGGGCTGTAAAAAAATTTGGTGCAAAATTATTCCAATTAAATGAAAAAGAAAAAAACTAGAGGCTGATAATACAATCTGAATGGAAATACAAATGTTCGAGGATCACAAAAAGTCAAGCACAAAATACCAAATATAAAAGTGGCAATTTAACATGTGATATCACAGGAATAGAGAAATTGATTAATAGAACAAAATAGTATTCAAAGTCACATGGATATGAATGTAGCATATGATAAGGCATTTCACATGAGGGAAATGAAGTGCCTCAGACATACTAGGCAAGTGCTACGCCACTGAGCTACAGGCCCCAGCCCTGGTTATATTTTTTTGTGTGCTGCTTATATATTTATATTTTGCCCATTTTCCTCTAATTGCTTTTACTTGTTCTTATTGATTCCTAGGAATTCTTATGTTCAGCTTTTAATCTATCTGGAATTTCACTAAGGAAATCTAATATATTTCATCCAATGGCTAGTCATTTATTATATCTTACTTATTAAATAGAACAGTTGTGTCCATACACAACTACAAAAAAACAATTTTTAAAAAAATAACCAAAAATATATTAAAGGTATTTAACCTCATTACTAACCAAGGACATACAGAATTAAGTACAAACTAAAATAATGAAATACCATTTTTATGCCAATTATATACTCAAAAACAAAGACCAGTAATATTCTCAAGTTGCTAAGGATGTGGGAGGCATTTAGAATTGTAAAATTATAAAGTACTTTTAGAGAGTAATTTAGCATTATCAAGTTTTTAATTATAACCATTTAAAAAAATAAAATAAAACAAATCTTAAATATTGAGGAAAGTTATTCTAGTGGTCTGTTCTGATAAAGATGTGTACATTTAAAAAGACATACTTATTTGCTGCTTACAGGTTTTGACAAAGCACAAGCAGAAACAATTGTATCAGCATTAACTACTTTATCAAATGTCAGCCTGGATACTATCTATAAAGAGATGGTCACTCAAGCTCAACAGGTACTATATTCATTTTTATCTCCAACAGTTTCATAGATGATTGTTTTTCAAGGAACGAAGGAAGAAAGAAAAGGAAGAGAGGGAAGAGAAAGAATTGAAGGGAAGGGAAGAAAGATCTTTAGTAAAGTCTGTATCTCTAGACAGACTGAAAAGTTAGAATAGTCCTAACAAGATTATGGCATAATACAAAGAAGGAATTTTGTCATATCTTCCATTGTGTGAGGTAATTATTTAAATCATGAGATGGTAGCAGATTGTTATTGAAAGTTTTTTCCCCTGGAAAGCCTATCACAGAAGAGCTAACCTTTCTTTACTATATGATACATTTTACTCGTGTCTTATATATGTTGTAGTTCAGAGACAAAAGCTAGAAAGGATTAAACTAACATGGCTGGGAAAGACTTCATAAATTGCTTGGCTAAGAAGTCTGGATATACAAATTCTTAAAGTCAACTATTTACTAAAAACTTAAGATGTAAGGAGCACAGTAAAACTGTTTAAGAATCTGTTTTGTGCTAGGTGTGATGACACATGCCTGTAACCCTAGCAGTTCAGGAGGTTTAGGCAGGAGGATCACAAGTTCAGGGCCAGCCTCAGCAATTAAGTGAAGCAACTTAGTGAGACCCTGTCTCAAAGTGGAAAAAAAAAAAAAAAATTTTTTTAAAGGGCTGAGGATGTGGCTCAGTGGCCAAATACCCCAGGGATTGATCTCTACTACCAAAAAAAAAAAAAAATCCATTTTCTTCTGAACTTATATTTTTTAATTTTAGTTTTTCAAATTTAGACTTCTTCCCTCAGATAAATATTTCAAAACATAAACACAAAAAGATAGGATTTTTTACATAACATTAGAATCTATTAAAGATTTTTACTATGGGCTGAGGCACTGGATTCTATCCTCAGCACCACATAAAAATAAATAAATAAAAATAAAGACATTGTGTCCATCTACAGCTGAAAAAATATTTTAAAACAAAGATTTTTACTATCATTTCCTATTAATTAGACATTGAAACTAAAACATTCATATCCTTTAAATTTGCGTTTGCATCATTTTAGCTTAATTTTTCATGTTCATAGCAGACTAGTAAATCCACTACAGAAAAAGCCAACAATTATTGCATCCGTAACAGAGTCAGAAGGAGCTACTGACATTTTAAATAAAAAGTAATTTACTCTTAAGTTCTTAAACTTGCCTATAATATAAGCAGGGAATTAAAACTAATTTGAAGAATCAAGATGCTTCCAAGACCATTTAATATTACATATAAAATATAGGATTATGTATAGGAATATTACTATTAAACTTTTGGCTTTTTTCAAATTTCTAGTGTGTGAAGTTAAAATCCCATTCCATTCTTGAACTTAACATCATTGTTGACCTTTAGCATATAATAAGGCACAAAGATGATGTCATGAAGCATAGAGCTAAGTTCAAGCAAACAAGCTAACTACTTGATTACTTCAGATCACTAAATCTGTTCAACCTCTGATGACTTCACAAAAGTTATAAAGATCATACTTCTAATAAGTTTGACCACTTAATAATGAATAATATCTTTCCATTTAAATGGGGGGGGGTCTTTTTTTTGTTTGTTTGTTTGTTTTGGTACTGGGGATGGGACTCAGGGGTGCTTAACCACTGAGCGACATCCCCAGCCCTTTATACTTTTTGAGACAGGATGTCACTAAGTTGCTTAGGGTCTAACTAAATTACTGAGGCTAGCTTTGAACTTGCAATCCTCCTGCCTCAGCCTCCTGAGCCACTGGGATTACACACATGCACCACCATACCTGGCCTATTTAAAGTTCTGGAAGATAGACACTGTGCTGTATGAGTCACAGCTGTATGTTAAGAATGAAGTAAAAAGCAGCTACTATACAATCCCTTATTCTCGGGCTCAAACTCTATAAGAAATCTGTAATTACATTTCTTCCATATGTATTTTCAATAATAAAAATGCATTATATTTAATGTCATAGAACTCCTTTATAATGGTATTGGGGAAACAGGTGTGAAAGCCCCTAGAGGACACATCTGTAATGACCTCTCAGGTAATTTTCATAAATACTTCAAGCAGAAATGAGTAAAAGAAAATGAACCCCACTCCCAATAATATATGAGGGTTAGGGAAGGCATAGGAATCAGATATTTGTTGAACACAGTTGAAAACATTTATATTGTGTAGGATTCATATTTAAGTCAAAACATCCTCAACATAAAAATACTGGAGTCAAAGACTATTCTACTTCAGCCATTAGATCACTATGCCATTAATAATATATAGCTAACAATTACTGGATACTAACCGTAGGCCAAGAACTATTTAAAGTATTTTATATACAGTATTTACTTAATCTTAAAAATAAAAAACTCTGTAAGGTGTGGGTATTGTTATTTCCATTTACCAATGAGGAGATGAAAGAAGTTCAATAAGTTGCCCAGAATCTCAAAAGAAAATGACAGAATTTGAGTTCAAACTCAGAGAGTCTAACTCCACAATTCACACTTTTAAACTCTGCTTTATGAGTGTGTCTCATCTGAAAGTTGTTTTTGGAGAGATGTGCATTCCAGACCCTTTGAACACTGAGCTATATCTGAAAATGTTACAGCCTCTGCTATCTAAAAGTCATCAGCTTTCAAATGGTCTTTCTATCTCATGCCAATCAAAAAATGACTGCAACCCCAACAAAGTACCCCAATCACAAATTGTAACTTTAAAAATGGGATTAATGATCCTGTTCTTGTTTGGGCTTTTTTGTTTTATTTATAAACCCATTACACAGGGTTCTTCAAAAGGTTATATACAATTATCTGATTTATCTTTTAATAAAGAGCAATAAATTATGTCAGTAAGCTACCTCATTTTAAGATTAATGGTAACCATTATGGTTTTTTGTAAAGCCGCCTTAAATTATTACTACAAAAATTTCCCTTCTTAGCAAAGCAAAAGCTTTTAAGTATATTGGATAGAAGCCACCTTTTCTTTTGTATATTCTTGGTAGTGCCAAACATAGGAAAGATATGAGAGAATTTAAACAAAATTAATATTGTGCCGATAAAGAATAATTATTTTAAACAAGTATCTATGTATTTTGTTATAGTCCCTGACATTAATTTTTTTTCAATACCTTTTACCGTTTTCCAATGGTAAAAAAAAAAAATCCCTCAAATAAAAAGTAACAAAAGGTAATAAAACCCTTTCTATCTATGTGTTCAAAAAACAAAATAAATCCTTTGGTGAGGAACTTTTAGAGGCTAAGTAAGTAATTTATTGGAATTCTTTTTAGAATGTTTAGACCTAAACATTTAATTTTACTCACTGGGAAATGCATTTTTCTTCTTGAATCTCTGTAGGGTTATATGTTGTTTTGTTTTTTTTTAAACATTTGGTTAACTTATTCTAAATTTCATGAAAATAATTCATGAATAAAATAATGTCATTCCTAGATCACTAGGTTATTTTTATTTTATTTTCTAGGAAATAACAGTACAACAGCTAATGGCTCATTTGGATTCCATCAGGAAAGATATGGTCATCCTAGAGAAAAGTGAATTTGCAAATCTGAGAGCTGAGAATGAGGTGATATAATTTATTATTGATACAAATAACTGATCTTTTCAGTATGTTACTTGGTGAATAAGACCAAATAACTTTATGTGGTTACTAAACAAGTTTTTAGATTAAAAATACACTGTTTTATCAATGCCTAATCTTTATGTGTAAATCAATTTCTTACATACTGAAGAATAAGAATTGCATTTTATGTACATAAAATTCACATAAAAGAAAGTCTTTGAGCTTACATACTATATACAATTTCTTGTATAGCTCATAATATAATGTACTCAAAGCTGAAAATAATATGTTTTCCATTTTATTTGATCCTCTATTGTCTTTTCACTTAAAAGTATGTTCCTGTAATCAGAAATTTGTTGTTATTCACTAGTGTATATATTTTTATATTTTATATAAATATATATGTATGTATGTATGAGTGTATATAGAAAGATAGATATTCAAATTTTGCTAATCTAGAGTCTCAGATGTTTTTTAAATGAATCAGTATGGGTTTTGGTTTCATGCTAATTGTTTATGATCTTTCTTACCTAGAAAATGAAAATTGAATTAGACCAAGTTAAACAACAACTAATGGTAAGTGAAATTTTTCCCATTTTAGTATCAGACAAATAAATATTGATTACAATATAATTTTTTAAATATTTTCTTTCTTTAAAGAATGAAACCAGTAGAATCAGAGCAGATAATAAATTGGACATCAACCTGGAAAGGAGCAGGGTAACAGATATGGTAATAAGCTTCTAAATGTAGTTTTTTGGTTACTTATTCCTTTTTAATTCTTTTTAGTCTTTTTTTTTTTTTTTTTTAATCTCCTGCTGCTTCATATCCTTTAGTTTACAGATCAAGAAAAGCAACTTATGGAAACAACCACAGAATTTACCAGAAAGGTAAGGGAGTAGTATGTAGAACTTTCTCTTTCATACTTTTCTTTATATGTATCAGTTTATAAGTTTAGACTTTATAAAGCTAGCCCTATAAAATCCATGATTTCCTCATAGCTACTATAGTTAGCCAGCACTTTGTGGGAAGCTGCCCCCAAATAAGTGGTTGTACATGAGCTCTGACATTACACTAAGAATCAAGATTTTTGTATAGCACACTTTTTTTACCTAAATTATTTTTGCAGAGACAGTAACTGTGTCTTAAAAGACAAAGATTCACTATTCACTATTGGTATTTAAGTGCCTAGGTTTAAATAAATACTTATCTTAAAAATTTGTTAAAAAAATATTTATTGCAAATATTTCTTGCCGATACTGTTTTACATGCTTTACTTCTACTAATTTACTTAATTTTTGTATCAGCCTGTGGAAAGTAGGTACTATTATTCCCATTTTACCAGTTTGGAAAATGAGACAAGTTAAGATCACAGAGTTAATGACTGGTGGAGCTGGGATAAGAACCTGGATTCTAAACCCTATATTTAAAACTACTGCTTACCTTACCTTCTCAATAATCCTTAAATTTAATCATCATTTAAATTCTGTGGCTTGAGTAAACCCCAGCTTTCTGACCCAGCCTACTCTTTTTCTTAACAGCCATCTGACATTATTACCCTGTGTACATACATGACCAGTTTGATTCTATATCATGTACAACCAGAAGAATGATAAATTATACTCCATATATGTATGATGTGTCAAAGTGCATTCTACTGTCATGTATAACTAATTAGAACAAAATTTTTTTAAAAAGTTATAAGTCATTTGGCTTTCTAATATAGAAGAGACATTACTATGCTCAAATTTTAATAGACGGGAAGGCTACATGTCTTCAAGAATCCTATACTCTTACTTCTTGGCCAGAGAAAGTAGATAAGGAATTAAGCAAATTGTTTCACAACTGATTTCTGAGTTCTGGCTCCTTATATTCACCATTAGATATTTCTGCTAGTTCCTTTTATATTGGTTCATATTACATATTGGGATTTTTTTCCTTTTGCAGATAATATCTAAAATTTTAACCATAACATCCTAAGCACTTTACACAATAAAGTGATAGTTCTAGTATTAAAATTTTCGCTTTTCCATTTATCATCTTATATATTTATGTCTCAAGTGTCTTATGTGAGGTTTTTAGTAGAATATGCCCAGCATGTGATAGAAATTATTTCCAGTGTGGAAATTGGGGGAATGTGGTTTGTACCTTTGTGTCCGTTGAATTTTTTTAATACCACTATGCTTTTACTGTATTTCCCCAATGAAAATGTTTATAATGCAAAATTAGCACATAAATATCTCCACAGAGGAACAAAATTTAGTTGTCTTTCTTATTCTTGCTTACTACAGGATACTCAAACCAAAAGTGTTATTTCAGAAACCAGTAATAAAATTGACACTGAAATTGCTTCCTTAAAAACACTGATGGAGTCTAATAAACTTGAGACAATTCGTTATCTTGCAGGTAAGACTGTCAAAGAAAGGAATACTGTCATTCAATTTTTGGACCTGTTAGTTCCTACCTCTCAAGGTAACCATGTAGGTAGCAGAAGAAAAGGAGAAGCTATAATGATGCTTTTAGTGCTTAGTCCCCTGTAATGCTTGAAGAAGGCTTCAATCCCAAGATATAACTCACCAGGCAACTCTGTGCAACTTACTGAGAGGAAAAAGCACATGGGTAGCAAAGAAATATATAAACCCAAGGACAAAATGATACAAAGATACAATGAAAAATTTCTTTTATTGCTTATATTCTTCCTTAAGGATTTGAGTGGGGTTAGAGAAAAAGAACACTAAAGTAGATACAGGCCATTAAAAACCATACCAAGCAAAGGGTAATGGAGGGTTGAAACTAACTTCTTCATTCAATTGCCTGAGCACAGATACTACCCCCAAATTAGATTATTTGTCATGTACTAAGCTCCTTAATTACTATCTGACATAACAATTATATAGCCCTAATGAATTATGAAGAATACACTAGTCAAGTGATATTTGTCCTTTTTCTTTCTTTTTATAAAAAGTAATATTTTTTAAATTATACATCGTTTATAGAATTCAAAAGCAGCGAAAGCCTTCCAAATCTCCTATTGATGTATATTTACTATTAGTAGCATGTATCTTTTCTTCTGTATATAAATATAACATACACCTTTAAAAAAAACTATATATGACAGTCAACTCTACAAAGGTAATCAAATGTTTTAAATATTTTTGAACTTCAGTACATACTTAGATGTCTTTTTATTAGAAAGCATAATATAAAAATGCTATAATTTACCCAATACTTTATTAACAGGTATTTTCCTCCCATTATTAGGAATAGTATTCCACTGAATAACCATATATATGTATGTTTGAATAAATACACATACATACACCCATCTTCATATGCTTATGCTAGTGTTCCTATGTAATAAGTTGTCATGCCCATTTAAAATTTGGGGTCAAAAAGATAATATTTTAAAACTTTGTATTAGTGAATTTCCATCCAGAAAAAAATCCTGATTTATACTATCAGCAGTTTCCTCAGTGGCCACCACTGGTGTTGGGGTGTTAGGAGAGGTGAAAAATGAGCCTGAGCCCTAGCTGATGCATGGATATGCAATTAAAATGACTCAACTTTTATCTCTTTAAAACATTGGGTTTCTGCTTAAAGATTCATTTGAAGAAACAATTCTAAGGCTAAAACATAACAACTAAAACAAACTCTACTAAAACATCTCTGGACCTAAAGACATCAGTTTTAATACCCAGGAAAATTCTAAAACAGCCCAGTTTGGAGTGTTCATTCCCTCTTTCAAAATTGATCACAAAGTTACAAAGGTTAGGAATGTGTTGAGGTGGACTCAGCTTCCTACAGAGTGTTTACCTGTAATCTTAGTTTAAAATAACATAAGATGGTAATGAGTTCCAAAAAGCTTTCATTCAGAAGTGAAGATACACAAAGCAGAATTGAATAGACTTAGTGGCAATAGCAAAAAAAAAAAAAAAAATTAACAAGTTAGTCATTTAGAAAAACTTCGTTCTAAGTCATCCTCCCTTCTGTTTTTTACTGAGGGTTTAAAGCCAACAATACAATACAGAGGCATTTTTCTCCGTCCTTATCCATCTATAAATATGTACTACTTACTAGTATTGTTAATGGTAAGCCTTTTAAGAAGCTAAAATCTCATACTTTGAACAAGTGGGATGGTAATGTCATGAGTGGATCTGTTGGTTCTAGAATACCTGAGATAATTGCCTGTAAGACCCAGTTTATCTGAGATTCACATATTAAATTCAGTCATAAAAGGGGAATAAAAACTCCTAGTTCAGTTGTCAGAGTCCCAGCATTAAAGATCTTGCATTTCCCTTGAAGAAGATATCAATGTATCTTAATCACTTTGGTTAATCGGTATCCCAGCTTACATTAGTCAGTAATCTTTTAATTTTAAATATTATATATCCAACTTTAACTAGTTTAGGCTTATTAATAAATTTTGAAAAGTCAGTGGCATATCCTAACAAGGATAACTGGAAACAGAATTTACTCTGTATTCTGCTCTGAATGTCCTCATTTTCTCCACACTAACTTTATGAGTTGGAAACATTACCACCAGTAGCTCCTACATTAATGTCATTCTACTCTCACCAACAAATACAAAAAAATCCCAGGAAATAGTCTGAAGAGCCCCCTCTTGGGGTTGCAGTTCCTTTTGGCCCAGATCACTGTTGCCGAGGAAGCAACAGCTGTAAAGTAATGGTAGTTCTGTTTAATCTGTGTTATTGTAGAATATTCTGTTCTGGGCAGATAAATAGTAATAAAAAGCTAACATTTGTGGGAAATTTACCAGGCACATGGCTTATTTAAGCATTTTACATATATGTAAGTTTACTGCTAGACAGTCCATAGAAGATAAACAGCAAACTTAAAAATAATTTGGAATGTCTTCATGATTATTAGTAGTGACAACAAGAAGAAATAAAAGCCAAAATAATAGGAACAAGAAATAAAGAGACACTAAAGCCTATCTACAAATTCAGCATAAGGTTCATTAGCTCCTTGTATTACCTTAGATAATTGACCTTGTAAACCTCCATGTCCTTGTAAAGTCTTCCATGCCTTACCTGCATCTGCAGCAATTTGTGCATATACACCAGGATCATATGCAATTTGTTGCTGCTGATCCTCATAAGGTCCCTTTCCTAACAACATATCTAGATTTCTCTGAGGATAACCAGCTGCTGCATTTCGCCTAGCCGTCTCCTTGCAAAATTCCTCATTAGCAACCTTCCATAACAGGTATTGTCCTCCATTTAGCACAGCTTTACACATATTAGCCCAATCTGCTGGCGTCATGTTCAAGTTGTTAATGGATTCGACCATGCTTACAGTGAAGGGTGCTTGAGGACCATAGGTTGTTACAGCCTCTTTTAGCTGCTTCACTGTTTTGAAATTTAAAGCATGGTGAACTCGCTGCCCTCCTGCCTCAAATACAGGGCATGTTAATATTTGAGATCCTGTCTCAGGATCCCAACTATCAACTGCAGGGGTTGGGGGGGCCTCCCAGCATATGGAGGTGGTGCTGTTGGTTGGACACTTACACCCTCTGGTGATAGAAAGGGGTTAGTAGCAGTCTCCTGTTGTAACTTTCCCCCTGATGGCTTTTTCTGTTTTACACTTTCTTTCTCTGTCTGACTAGCTCGAAAGACCTTCTCTTTTACTTGAATCTTTTCCTCTTTCTGACTAACTTGAGAGACCTTCTCTTTTACTTGAATCAATATGTCTTCTCCTTCCTCTACCTTTGTCTGAACTGAAGGCTTTGGACTAAGCAAACAAGATGCCAACACCCACAATGTCAGTGTGCCAACTGGCAGAGTTCCTGGGCTTTTCTTTTCTATTCTTTTTAAATCTTCACCATGATGGTTCCATTGTGATATATTTAACAACTCCTCCTTAAAAAGCCATGGGCTACATTTTTGTATTGTATCAAGGTATGCCCTGACTGCTCTTGATTTTACTGAGATGCCTCCTTCCTCTAACAATTTACTTAACACTCTTTCAGTTTGTTTTTTACTAATTTCTGATCCCATATTTCTACTATAATACAACCCAACAAGATAACGCCTAACAAAACAAACAGAGTGAAACAAAATTGGAACAACACAAAATCATTATAATAGCCTCCTGAAATGTCCATCCGTACTTTCTCCCTATCTGTTCCTCAGATGTGAGTGGTTTTTCTTCCATCTTACACATCTCCAGGGACAGGCAACTTAAAACAAAAGTGAAGCAAAACAAAAGAATAATTTTAAAATGGCTACCCATCCTCTCGCCCTGCCCTCAGGGGCGAGCAGTTTACCTTATCACTTACCCTCAGTTGTTCCCCGTGCGGCCCACCAAATGCCGCAGTCTGGCTGGGCACAATTCAGGAGCCACTTGTCAAAAGCATTATTTAAGCATTTTACATATATGTAAGTTTACTGCTAGACAGTCCATAGAAGGTAAACAGCAAACTTAAAAATAATTTGGTATGTCTTCATGATTATTAGTAGTGACAACAAGAAGAAATAAAAGAGACACAAGAAATAAAGAGACACTAAATTTGGAAACACTTCTGTATTCTAACAAAGAAATGAAATACTTTCCTCCTCACAATAAATTCATCAGCTCTTAAATTAGCAAAAAATAAAAATCACCTAGATAGCCACATGTGGCTCAAAAAAAAAAAAAAATTACAGGGCTGGGGCTGTAGTTCAGTAGCAGAGCCCTTGCCTATCACATGTGAGGCACTGGATTTGATCCTTAGCCCCACATAAAAATAAAGAAAATAAAGGCATTCTGTCCATATACAACTACAAAACAGCTTTTTTTAAAAAAAATTACAAATGTCACAGTACAAATAAGGCTAACAGAATGGTTTTCAAAAAACAAAGCTTTGGAGTCAGGTATACCTATTCTTGAATCCTGGCTTCACCATTTGCTGGTCATATAGCTTTGGGCTTGTTGCCCCATCTAAACAACAGGGATAATACTACTAATCTCATAGGATTTTAATTATATCTAAATAAGGTAATGTATGGAATCACTTAGCACACTGCCTGACACATGGTAAATAGTAGCAGGATCAAATTGGATAATGTATAATTAATTGCAGTAAGACAAGATATTCTTTTTTTTACCACAATACCTTTATCCTATTTATTTATTTATTTATGTGGTGCTGAGGATTGAACCCAGGGCTTCACATGTGCTAGGCAAGTGCTCTACCATTGAGCTACAGCCCCAGCCTAATATATTCTTAATGTTATTCTTTCTTCTCAAATGTCCAGATTCCCTACGTATCTTAGGCCTAATTTCATTTCTTAAAAATGAGGAACTGATCTTATCATTAACTAAGTTACATTAAATAGCCCAATTAAGTGGAATAGTGTAAATTAGATTTATACATTATAAATAAAATCGCTTTATTTTATATAGCTAATTTCTTGTGTCTTTAGTCATAAAAGTTTGTCCTTTATCTCAGATTCTCCATTTAAAGATGCTTTCATGGCCTTTTAAACAAACTGGAGATTAGAGAATCCTTAAAAGCCTTTTTTTTTTTTTTCCAAAGGTGCTGTGTTCAAACCCAAGTCCTCGTGCAGGCTAGGCAAGAGCCCTACCACTGACCCACATACCCAGCCCCCTTAACTTCTTAAAGGGGGCTGAAACGTTTTCTCTTAGAATGATGTAATATGGAGCTGGGGTTGTGGCTCAGTGGTATAGCAATTGCCTAGCATGTGTGAGGCAGTGGGTTCGATTTTGCACTACCTAAATAAATGAATAAAATAAAGGTCCACCAACATCTAAAACTATTTTTTTTAAATGATGTAACATAAAGAGCAGGTGGTATGTGGGCTGAAGATGTAATTCAGTGGTAGAGCATTTGCCTAGCATGCACAAGCACCACAAATAAAGGGGGGAAAGCAGGTGGTATATTAATCAAAAAGCCTTATGCTTTTTCTGCCCTCTACTCTCTGAAGTTTTTTTTTTTTTAAGGGTTTTCATTAAAATTTAAGTTTTTTTCTCCTGTCAACTGTAGGGTGAAAACCTCAACTAAGTCACAAAGAGCCTGGTTATAATGAAGAATTCATAACCATAAACATTAGACTACTTCTTTCATATAAATTTATGACCAAAATTATGGGGAGTAAATTATTAAGTCAGCTGAAATCTCCATTCTTTCCTTGTATAAAATTTATATGGAAATCTGTATCAGTTAACTAACAATATGACAACTGAGATAGAAGAGCTCATCAAATGATCTTTAGAGCTGAAGTCACTAGGCTGTGTATGCCTGGTGGTTCTGACTGGAACCCAACTCTAGATGTGTGAATTCTTGAGTTGATTGGGACTAAAAAGTTTTGAAGATACTGACATTTTTACTCTTTGACTCAGAAGTGTGGTATGACTACCACTTGGTCCAATTTTCTCTATAAGCTGTTCCATACTTTGTACATAGTTTTGTTAACTACTAAGTGCTTGCTACAATGTTGTGACAGATGTTCATAAGTAGTGAAGTATTAGACACTATTATTTAAAAAAAAAAACTCCAGTGAGATAATGTTTAAGTACCTGTCATCTCTTGACTCCTAGTTACCTTTGTTCCTTTTACTTTAATTATGTCCAAATGAATAATATAATTTTAATAAATTAAATTAATAATTTATTAATAACTTTTAAAAAAATAAATAAAATTTAAGTTTTTAGTAATTATGAGAGAATTCTTTCTTTTAAAAGAGATGGGTTCTTTATTACCTAGGATTCCCCAAACTCTTGGGCTCAGCCTAAGTAGTTGGGACTACAGGCCACTGTTCCCAGCTGAGAAATTATTTTAAAATGTATGGAAAAGACAATATAAATTTTCTTCTCCAACTGGCAGTGTAGCTCAGTGGGAGAACACTTGCCTAGGAAGTACAAGGCCCTGGGTTCTCCCCAGAACCACATATAATTTTTTTCCCATAGATATATTAATGCCTGTTCTATTAACCTAAACACATAATTATTTTTAACATAAGAAAGATGATTTTATTGTAATATGAAATAGTTTATAATTTTTTAGTCATTTGTTACACTATTGTCAATGACTTTAAATACTGTTTATAGATTCTGACTTATCATCTACATTTCTAACTTATTTTTATCCTTATTCTGTCTTAAAATTTAGGAAGCTTTTAAAAATAATGTATTGCCAGGTACAGTGGCACATGCCTGTAATCCTAGTTTCTAAATAAAATGTGAAAAGGGGCTGGGGATGTAACTCAGGTTAAATTCCACTGGGTTCAATCCCTGTTACCAAAAATAAAAATAACTGGCTTTAATACTGTGTTATTAATTATTATCTTTATCTTAGTTTTCTAAGGAAACAAAAACAAGGTACAGAATTTATTTCCTTTATTTTTTTATTCATCTAAATTGAAAATAATATTATTCTGTTAATCCCTGCAAAATAATAATGAATATTTGACTTGTAATATAGTTTCTTTTTTCTTTTTTTTTTTTTTTTTTACAGCCTCAGTGTTCACTTGTCTTGCAATAGCATTGGGATTTTATAGATTCTGGAAGTATTACTAACTATCCTACTGTTGGCTGCTATTGACTTCGTAGAATACTACACCAGGAGTTTCTTTGAACATTTTCAGTTGCTGCAGAAAATTTACAACAACATTATTCAAAGTATGCGTGGACTAAAGAGAAGTATTTTTAAGTATTTTATCTTTATTTTATGTGTCTGTATTTTATTTGTTTGAAAAGCTGTCATCCAAACCCTGATTTATTTGAGATAGAAGGGCATTTTGTCCTCATCCTTTTGATAGTTCATAGAAACTGAACTAAAATTTTCTTGTATTTGCTTCAAGAATTTTGTAAATCAAATAGAATTTTGTTGGTATGTGCTGCAAATTTGAAAACTATGCCTTAGCCTACATGCTTACTGGACCTAACTCTCCTGATTTTAAGTACTGTAGTTAAATTTTTGTATCAAATAAAAGATTATTATAAGAAAATATGATTCAAATGTATGATATGTCAAGGTCATCGTACTGTCATGTGTAACTAATTAAAACAAATAAAAAAAAGAAAGTAGCTTGGTTTTGAAAGTGTCTCACTGTATAACAGGAGATTATTTTCTTTTTATAAGAAAAGTAAACAATAATTTTTAAAATGTGTGCTCCAGTATCTAACCACTAGTATAAAAATCTATGAAGTTATTCTGATCATTATACTTACTTTTTTATTTTTTAAATTTTTCATATAAAAACCAGGGTTTATCCTTGATTTTCAATTTAAAACAATTTAAATCAACCCATCTTAAACTTATAAGACAAAACTTTTCCGAATGATTCATTTAAATTCAGCAAACATCTGTTGGTATATATAGAGCCTACTCCCAGGAAACTTATATGGAAATCCAGGTTTCAGGTTTTTATTTTGTTGCTTTTGGGAACCCTATATTTTTTCTAATTTAGTGTCTCATGACAATATATATGTTATTTTTTTTAAATTACAAACTGTCATTTTTATCTTAGTTCTATAGTTCTATCCACATTAAGAAGCCACAGTAAGAAAATGTTAAACACTTCAGAATATTTCATAATTCCTTGGCAATGGCTTTAAAAGTTTGGTAATCAGTCAACCAGTCATTCAAAATAACCCTACCTTTTTTAAAAACTTTTTTATTTCTAATCAATTATACATGACAGCAGAATGCTATTTGATTCATTGTAGAACACAATTAGAACACAATTTTTCACTTCTCTGTACACGAAGTAGGGTCATGCCATTACCATTCATGCAATCATGTATGTACCTAGGGTAAGGATGTCTATCTCATTCCACCATCTTTCCTATGCCTATACCCCTTCCCCTCCCCTCCGCCCAGCCCAAAGTTCCTCCACTCATCCTGTGCCCCCCCCTCCCCATTATAGATTAGCATCCACTTATCAGAGAAAACATTCAGCCTTTAGTTTGGGGAATTGGCTTACTTTGCTTAGCATGGTATTCTCTAACTCCATCCACTTACCTGCAAGTACCATAATTTTATTCTCTTTTAATGCTGAGTAATATTCCACTGTGAATATATATCACAGTTTCTTTATCCATTCATCTATTGAAGGCCATCCAGGTTGTGTTCACTATTTGGCTATGAACATTGATGTGGCTGCGTCACTACAGTATGCCGATTTTAAGTCCTTTGGGTGTAAACTGAGGAGTGGGATAGCTGGATGAAATGGCGATTCCATTCCAAATTTTTTAAGGAATCTCCATGCTACTTTCCAGATTGGTTGCACCAATTTGCAGTCCCGCCAGCAATGTATTAGTGTGATTTTTCCCCCACATCCTCACCAGCACTTATTGTTTCTTGTATTCTTGATAACTGCCACTCAGACTGGGATGAGATGAAATCTTAGAGTAGTTTTGATTTGCATTTCTCTGATTGCTAGAGATTTCAACATTTTTTCATATATTTGTTAATTGATTGTATATCTTCTTCTGATAAGTGTCCAGTTACTTAGCCTATTTAATTTATTGGTTGGGTAGTTTGTTTTTTTGGTACTAAGTTTTTTGAGTTCTTTATATATCCTAGATATTAATGCTCTAATATGTGTGTGGTAAAAATTTGCTCCCATACTATAGTCTCTCTTTTCACCTCACTGATTGTTTCTTTTGTTGAGAAGAAGCTTTTTAGTTTGAATCCATCCCATTTATTGATTCTTAATTTTATTTCTTGCACTTTAGGAGTCTTGTTAAGGAAGTTAGGGCCTAATCCAACATGATGAAGATTTGGGCCTGCTTTCTCTTCTATTAGGTTTAGGGTGTCTGGTCTAATTCCTAGGTCCTTGATTCACTTTGAGTTTTGTGCATGGTGAGAGATAGATAAGGGTTTAATTTCATTTTGCTATATATGGATTTCCAGTTTTCCCAGCACCATTTGTTGAAGAGGCTATCTTTTCTCCAATGTGTGTTTGGGCACCTCTGTCTAGTATAAGATAACTGTATTTATGTGGGTTTGTCTCTGTGTCTTCTATTCTGTACCACTGGTCTACCTGTCTGATTTGGTGCTGATACCATGCCATTTTTGTTCCTGTGGCTCTGTAGTATAGTTTAAGGTCTGGTATTGTGATGCCTCCTGCTTCACTCTTCTTCATAAGGATTGCTTTGGCTATTCTGGGTCTGTAATTTTTACAAGTGAATTTCATGATTGCTTTTTTCTATTTCTGTGAGGTATGACATTGGGATTTTAATTGGTATCACATTGAATCTATGTAGCACTTTGGGTAGTATGGCCATTTTGACAACATTAATTCTGCCTATACAGAGCATGGGAGATCTTTCCATCTTCTAAGGTCTTCTTCAATTTCTTTTCTTCATTGTTCTGTAGTTTTCTTTGTAGAGGTCTTTCACCTCTTTTGTTAAATTGATTCCCAGGTTTTGTTTTTTGTTTGTTTGTTTGTTTTTGTTTTTTGAGGCTATTGTGAATGGAGTGGTTTTCCTAATTTCTCTTTCAGAGGATTCATCAGTGATGTGTTGAAATGCATTTGATTTATGGGTATTGATTTTATATCCTGCTGCTTTGCTGAATTCATTTATTAAATCTCGAAGTTTTTGGTGGAATTTTTTGGATCCTCAAAGTATAGAATCATGTCATCAGCAAATAGTGATAATTTGAAACCTGCCTTTTTGTTTTTTTAGATAGGAAAAATATAGAAAATATGCTGAGTAATATTATCTTATCTTAGCACCAAAAAAAACAAACTACCCAATCAATAAATAGGCTAAGTAACTGGACACTTATCAGAAGAGACTCATGCACATGGTCCAGTGAGTGAGAATCAAAGGATTTTCTTCAAAGATCTAACTGCTAAGTTGTTTTCAAAACAAAACTCTATATCTTAACATTATCCTATTACATTCTGATTCATTATCTCCAAAATCTCTTATCTACAAGTTCTTAACACATTATAAATTTCTATTACATTAATAAAGACCATCTAGGCTAAAGTCCACTGTAATAAACTACAGTGAATTTCATTCACTTAATCCTTATGACAACCTGCTATGTGCCAAAGAGTGTGAGCTCCCTGTGTACACAGCGGTAAACATGTTTAATTCTCATAGAACTTAATAATCTTAGTGGAGATATTAAACAATAAGTTATTTAAACAATAATATATTTTAAATTGTAACCAGATGGAAGACTTCCTCCATGAGAAGGAATAGCACATGAAGAACATCATAACATTGTCATCACTCTAACCCCTCCTCCACTCTGCTCTAAGGAATTAAAGTAACTTATCCAGTTGTAAATTTGGTAGGAGAAACAGGCTGTAGAAGCTCAGTTCATCCCTATTCTTATTTGGAAACACCCTATAGAGAATATACATTCTGTTCTGCTTCTATGGCAAACAGGCGTACTTCTCTCTTACAGTCCAGTGTAAGAATCCTAAGGGCTAATGTGTCAGCTCCATGGTGTCAGGGTCCTGACTCCTCCTCATCTTACTCATTTTTATAATGTCCAGTGACTCACCACCACATCTACATTTTAGAAGAAATGGGCAGGAGGTGGAAAACCCTTTCCCTTTTAGGGGCATGACCCTAAGGTATATAACATACTATGTTTGTTCACATCCTATTGGACACAACTTCCATCTGATTTGATGCTAGGGAAGCTAAGTTCTTATCCTGAGCAGCAAGAAACCCCAGGAGGTACTATAACTATAGAAGAGAGAAGAATAGATGTTGGGGACAACCAGGAAACCTCTACCACAGGTACATGCTTCTATTACAATGTTCTTCTGGTATTTCCTACCTCACTGATAAGAAAGACATAGACTTGAAAAAAACAGAAGCAAATAAAACAATTTATTGGGATTAACTCCAGAGTCAATAATTAGAGGGGGAAAATAAATCTGTATAATCCCAGAAGATGAGAGAAATGTTGCATTTGGAATTCCAGAAGTGGTAAATGAGAATGAGGACTGAACTTTCGCTGTTAAGGTTAGAACCACAGCTCTGCAATATGTGATCCTAGGTACAACCACTTAATCTGTCTATAAAATATATCTACTTCATATTATTGTAGATTCAAAGTCCATTGGAAACCTCAGAGAAACTTAACAATAGTGAATATAAGGAGTATCAAGAGAATAGCTAAGTCTTTTTTCCTTTATTTTTTGTGGTGCTAGGGACCAAACCCAAGACCTCACACATGTTAAGCATGCCCCTTACCACTGTGCTACATTCCCAGCTCAAGCTGATCTATTTTAACACCATTAACCAGCCTGAACTGGTCTTAGCAATCCAGTGTACTCTTCTGAAGGCAAACTAGTCCTCATGATACTAGATTAAATTGTCCTTTAGCATCTATGAAAAGTATATGTAAGGATACCAAGAATGGACAAGCTGGTATATTGTGGTTGAGAATGCTACTGCCAATGAAGCCAAAAGCTAGTGATCAGATATTCAGAAAAAGATCAGATCTAGACAGAGCCCCCAAGATAGTCACAATCTTTGCTAGTTCATGAAAGGAAAAAAGGGAAACAAAGGGCAGGTAAAATATGGAAACTAAATCAGAACCTAACTATATATCATACATTTTTTTTAAGTCAGCAAAGAACAACTAATCTTAATTTGAAGTGGGGGTTAAAGAGAAGAAAAATAATAAAGCCATGTATTTCTTATCCTGTCCAGGCTGCTTCTTAACTATACTCCTTCTAAAGCTTGCAAGACATACAAAGGTTGAATTCTGAAGCAGATTATTTAAATGGGTATTCTTAGCAACACATATTATGCTTTTTTAATAATAGCAAACTTTCAGTTTGCATAAAACTTTGCCAAGTGAGATATTTTGTTGCTATTGTAAAATTAGTTATATCATTTGAAAAACAGAAAAATGTTAAAACTATATGCACACCAGGCATGGTGCACGTACCTGTAATCCCAGCAAAATTTGGGGGGCTGAGGCAGAAGGATTACAAGTTCAAAGCAGCCTCAGCAACTTAGTGAGACCTTATCTCAAAATAAAAAACAAAAGAGGCTGGGGATGTGGCTCAGTGGTTAAGCACCCCTGGGTTCAGTTCCCATACCAAATAAATAAACACAACAGCAGCTGTAAATAGTACTTTAGAAAGTGAAAGAAATACAATCCTATTATGGAGTCATAACAGAATTTTTAATAAATTTAATATCTAGAACTAGATTTCCTTTAATTATTAGACTGGACAATTTATATTTTACAAATTTAATTGCTCATAACTTTTAACTTCCTTAAGTAGGTATATAAAAATTAATTTTGGGAGGGAGTGTACAAGTAAATCAATATAATTTTAAAAATTCCTATGATAGGGCTTGGGCTATAGCTTAGTGGCAGAGCACTTGCTTAGCACGCATGAGGCACTAGGTTTGATCCTTAGCACCACATAAAAATAAACAAATAAAATACTTTGTGTACAACCAGAGATATGAAAAATTGAGCTCTATGTTTAATATGAATTATAATGCATTCTGCTGTCATATGTAGCAAATTAGAATAAATTTTTAAAAATAAAGGCATTCTATGTACAACTACAAAAAAATTTTTTTTAAATCACTATGATAAAATATTTCCACTTTCAGAAATGGGATAGTAGCATATCAGAACAATTCTGAGAAGAGTTGCTATACATTTATATTTATACTGATTTCTTAAAGAGAAAATCCAGCAAGTTTATTTAAAGTTTTTTCACAGACTAGTTAGTACCTTCTTACAAACACTCCCGCAGAAGGCACCTTTTTTTTCACTCGCCTCTTCTCTTTGCTGGACTCACATGAGTCATCTTCCTATCAACAAAAGAAAAAAGAAATGAGATTTTTCATTCTAGCACATATTTTCATCTTCCTACATTGACTGTTCAAAAGAAAAATAATTAATCATGCTAAGTATTTTCAACTCTGATTAAATTTCTTTTAAGATTTTTGTAAATAAGTTCCCAAATCTGAAGTACCAGTGCTTCATATTATGCTAAATCTTAAGGCTGGAAGGCATCTTGAAAAATCATTCAGTCCTATCTCTACCTAAAATATCCCTCAAAGAGAACACCTTGTTTTTTATTCTTGTATCTTAGACTAACATGTCATAATACACTGCTAACTGCAATGCAGAAAGGGTCACTATGTCATCCTCTGGATTTTTTTGCAAGGCCCACAGGGCTAGGATTTATATTTGCTGACTCCTTTCTTCCCTTTTATGTTTGTACAGCACCTCTTTACTGCCCTTGTCTCATTTTCCACTGTTCCTGAAAATTTCTAATCATCTTGGTAATTCTCATGACCTATCAGAAAAATCAATAAAATGCTATGGAAAGGAACAGGGATAAGGCTGGAAACACTGCAGATGTTCACTAGCTCTTAGTCATTTTTGAGTAATTCTTCAAGTAAAAAAAATGCTGTGGGGGGGCTGGGGTTGTGGCTCAGCGGTAGAGCCGCTCGCCTAGCACGTGCGAGGCCCTGGGTTCGATCCTCAGCACCACATAAAAATAAATAAATAAAAATATTGTGACCAACTAAAAAAAAAAAAAAAATGCTGTGTACCTAGTTAGGACAGAATCTGAATAAAGAAGCTCCATGAACAGGACAAGGCACATGTTCATGGGGAAAGCCCATGGCTAGAATAAATTCCTGAAGGTGTTCCTTCTGACACTTTTGCTAATGAGCTCAGTTAGCTTTATTCATATATAGTAGTGTATGAACCTGGAAGCTATCTTCCAACACCACCTGGAAAAACAGTCATTTCTCTGTGTTCCCTCCTCTTCTCTCAGTTGCAAACTTGCTATCATCCAAGTTTCTAAAGATGAATTTGTCAAAATAAATCTTCTTACAAGCACAGTAAGAAAATGAGGGTATGGAGTTTATAATGGCAGCAGCAAGTAATGTGGACAGGATGAACTTGAAGCTGGGCTGTTAGGTTGAAATTAGAATGTCTTGACACAAAGCCCAGCATTCAAGTACTCAATACCTAAGTTGATGATGACTTGAAATATTATAGAGATGAATCAGATGATCTTATGAAACTTAAATTTTTAGTACTGTGGATAAAGTAAGTACTCAATCAAACTGAAATGTAAATGAGATGCCCTCAGAGCAGTAAAAAGTGCTTGGTAAAAGGAGAGATCATATGTGGTCATGGGCATTAGAAAAGAGGTAACCAAAGCAATGATTCCTGGGGATTTTTAAGAGGCAGAGTTGATAGGGAGCCTTCAGGCCCAAGAACAAAATGAACAAAGGCTTGGTGATGGGAAAGAGTAGGGTAAAATTAGAAAAGACAGGATACATGTAGGAAAACAGACAGAAATAAGACTGTTAAGATAGTTTAGGAATAAATGACAAACTGAAGATTCATTCATTCATTCATTCATTCAGGGTAGGAGAGTGAAAATCAAGCTGATAATTTCTGTGTCTACACAGAAATTCTGTCATAATAGTTCAAACAGACACAGACACCTTCACAGACACCTACAAGGTCGGCAAGAAAAATAGAGCATATGCTCCTATCTGTGGGATGGCCCACTTTTTATGGGCTGGAGAAAACAAAGTTAGTCATGACTAAGAATCTAAGACTGAGCCGGGCACTGTGTTGCACAACTGTATTCCCAATTTCTTAGGAAGTTGGAAAAATATATATTTTTTTTTTCACACACGTATACATATATATACACACATATATAAAGGGTTGGGGATATAGTCCATTAGTAGAGTGCTCCAGGTTCAATCCCCAGTACCACCAAAAAAGAAAAAAGAATCCAAGACTCAAGACAGTAATTGAGAAAATGGTGATGCCATGAATTTGAACATAGAGGGAAATCTGGTCTTTATGTTGAGTTTGGTTCTAGACATTTTTTTAAATTAGGTGCCACCAAAAATTTCAAGTGGAAATGTGCTACTGGCAGTGAGAAATAGTTGAGGAGTCCTGCTGGGGACATAGTACTAAAATATGAGTTTGATAATCACTTACACAGAAAGATTAGAGAAGTATAATCTGAAGGCAGAGATTCTGAGTTTGTTCCTGCTTCACACTAGCTATACGCTCTAACAAGATACTTAGCTTCCTCATACATAACATAAAATGTAATCTACCTCCTCAGTGTTGATACAGAGAAGATGAGATAATATCTAAGAAAACACTATAAAAACAGTAAATTAAAAAACTAGTTTTTAGGGCTGGGGTTATGGCTTAGCGGTAGAGCACTCGTCCAGCACATCCGAGGCCCTGGGATCAATCTTCAGCACCACATAAAAATAAATAAAATAAAATAAAATAAAGGTATAAATTTTTTTTTTAATTTTTTAAAATATGTCAAACTATCCTAAGTAACTCCTAAGAACTTCTCTGAGTAAAAATTATACTATTGCAGATTCTTGGGTGGAGAGATTTAAAGTTACAACTTTATGCAATCATAAGTCCTGATCAGAAAGTAGTGGGAGAAAGATTTAGTCGGACTCCAAAATAAACTCTTCCAATCCTTAGCTGCATAGGAAGGAAAAAAGAGAAAAAGACACAAGAAAGGGAGAAAATAATACAAACAATACTTCTAGTAATAGCTTGTGTGTGCCACAAACTGCTCAGGGTTTCTACATAATATTTCATTTAATATCACTACAATCCCATGAGGTATTATTATCCCCCATCTTATAGATGAAGAGATTGAGAATTAGAAGCTTTTCAGAAGAGAAAATAAGAAGTGCCCGAGTTACAGCTGTTAATGACATTAGCTCATTTAAAAAAATTGGGATTAACTTGGGCTGGGGTTGTAGCTCAGTGGTAGAGTGCTTGCCTCGCATGTGTGAGGTACTGAGTTCAATTCTCAGCACCACATAAAAATAAAAAAATAAATACAATAAAGGTCCATCAACAACTAAAAAATATATTTAATTTTTTTTTAATTTGGAATAATCTAAAGCAAGATTGCACAACAAACGGGCCCTCAGTCCAAGGCCTGAGTCAGCTCTCCTGAAAGTCTACACATTGTTAGAGGAGAGTGGCATTTTAGAGAACCTGGATTGTGCAGAAGGAAATCAGATCCAAACTTGAAAACAGAATGCTTCTGAACATGAAAAGAGAATTTATAAGTAGCTAAAAAATGGAAAATTTTATGCAAAGACTGTCAGTTTGGAATGACTCAAATGAAAGTGTACATTTTGAGTGATCCCCAAAATAAAGACTGTCCCACCTAAGCAGCTGGAGAAAAACAACTACCTTTGAGGAGGAATTGCAGTCCCTGCCACAAGGTGGCAAGATGACAAGGACTTATATTATTTTAGTATTTCTAAACTGGCTTTATGGTTTAGATGTGATGTCCCCCCAAAAGTTCACATTTGAGACAATGCAAGAAGGTTTGAAGGAGAAATGATTGGGTAATAGCCTTAACCTAATCAGTGAGTTGATCCCTGATGGGACTAATTGAGCGGTAACTGGAGGCAGGTGGGGTGTGGCTAGGAGAAGTGGTTAATTGAGGGCATGGCTTTGGAATATATATTTGTACCTGAAGAGTGGAGTCTCTCTCTCTCTGCTTTCTGATCATGATATGAGCTGCTTCCCTCTGCCACACTCTTCTGCTATGATGTTCAACTCATCTGGAGCCCCAAGGAATGGAACCGGCTTTCTATGGACTAAGACCTCTGAAACCATGAGCCCTCAAACTTTTCCTCCTCTATAACGATGCTGGTCAGATCCTTTTAGTTATAGCAGCGAAAAAGCTGACTAAAATGGCGGTTATTAAAGAGATTAATAATTAGTTTGTACAAAATAAAAAGAAGCCAGGAAGTTTTTGTTATAAATCATGAAGCAATTCAGGCCTGGAACAGAACTAATTCATCCAATAATGAAGAAAAAACTTCTTTACAGAAAGAAAATATTAACCATGTCTGAATCCCCACCTTGTATCATAATGAGCCAATCACAAGGACCACATCATGGCAGTTTTCACTTGAAGAACACATAAGGGTCAAAGTTTCCCCAGTGCATTTTCTACCTAATCTACTCTTGAGATCTAGAAGGCCTCAAACACAAGAAGCACTTGGGGTTTCCTGCTGTCATGTTTCTGTCTTCTACATTCCACCTACTTTTCTGGACTTGGCTCTATTTCTTACATGAGTTTCTTTTTAATCTCCTTCTATATATTTGCTCTTTTTGTCACTCTTAAGAATTTTTCTATTTTTTATAGCTATATTCTGAATTCCAAATTCAGGATTTCAATTGTGAAAGAACCAAGAGTATGGAGTCAAAGTTACAAATTTTGACTGATATTTCCACCATTACCAGCTGTGTGATTTAAATAAGTTACTTAACCCTTCTGAGCCTCCATTACTTCCTATACTAAATGAGGACTAGACAAATGACATAATAAGAAACTTGTGAAAGAACTCTGTAAACACAAAGTGTTACACAAATATTAGTTTGTATAATTTCATAACCTGAGCAAAAGGATGCTATAAAAATTTCTATGCTGGATCTTTTTTATTGTTTTTTGTTTTTCCTTTCAGTACTAGGTATCAAACTCAAGGCTTCGCATGCTAGGCAAGTGCCATACCCATTGAGCTACACCTCTAGCCGTTTTTTTGGAGGGGGAGGGTGTTGCAGGAACTGAACTCAGAGGCACTGGACCACTGAGCCAAATCCCCAGTGCTCTGTTTTGTATTTTATTTAGAGACATGGCCTCACTGAGTTGCTTAGGGCCTCACTGTTGCTGAGGCTGGCTTTGAACTTTCAATCCTCCTGCCTCAGCCTCCTAAACCACTGTATTACAGGCCCGTACCATGCACCCAGCAACCACCCTTTTATTTTTAGTCAGAGTCTCACCAAGTTGCCAAGACTGTCCTCAAATTTGCAATCCTCCTGCCTCAGTCTCTCAAGTAGCTGGGATTACAAGCCTGTGCCATCAGGCCTGCCTCTTTTCTACTCTTAAACTGCCGAAGGTTTCTAAAATGGATTCCATTCCAAGAACTTTACTTAGGTTATTTAGAATATTAAAATGTACATATTTTCTAACTGCCTCTGAATTCTTACTGCTTATTCTGCCTATAAAAAATAGCTTTTCCTTATATGGTACAAGATTAACAATAGCACTTACTACACACTCAGTGAACCATGTTGATGTCCTAACTAAAAGAGACACACACACACACATTGTAGACAACGTGTGTGTGAAGAGAAAGAAACTATTAGAGATAAATAGAGCTATACATATAGATGTATATTCCTTTTATCTTGACATCAGCTCTAAAAAGTCTAAATTATTCTCTTCAACTTACAACTGAATCACAAAGCAGTTAAATGATTTTCCCAAATCAAAAATTATTGTAACCAGAATTCAAACTCAACTAGTCCCAGCCCAAAGTTTACACTCTGATTTATTTCCTCAATAAAAATAAACATGTTAAGGATACCAACCATATCCATAAAATTGGGGGTCTGAATCTTCTCCATTGTTTCCCTAAGTTGATCCACCTCTGCTCGATATTCATCCAGTTGGCATTCTAATTTCTCTCTACGGAGTCGTTCATACTCCAGCTGGTCCTGCAGTTCTTTGATGGTCCTGTCAAAACAATTTTATTCAATTATCCTCCAATATCATTATATACTCCAATACCATTACTAACATTTTTGGAAACAGTGGAAAGTGCCCATTTAAGACAAGTAAATTAAATCAAAGGCATAGTTATTGTATTTCAGGTCTACTTGAACCAGCACTGATCTGTGTATTAGAGATAAGTAGTGAAAAAAAAGCCAAGACCTGCCCTCTTTAATTCAGTAGTGGAGGAAAACAGATAGTAGAAGGGGGAAAAAAAGTAAAACACATTGGTATCTCCGAGATGATAAGTCCTAAGGGAGGGGGAAGCAGGAAACAGTGATATAAAATGTCGTGGAAGAGGTGATTAGCACTTCATGTTCAGTGGCTAGGAAAGGCTTTACTGAAAAGGGTGCTTTGAGCAAAATTCTGCAGAAAATAGATAGCTAGACATCAGGGGAAGAACATTCCAGAGAGGGAAAGACCTAAGACCCTAAGGCAGAAATATGCCTGGGAAGGAAAAAAAGAAAAAGGAAAAGAAGAAAATCAGAGGCCAATCTGGCTGGAGTAGTTTTAAAAATAAATAAATAAAATGGAAAGTAGTATAGGTTAGAGGTCAAAAAAAGCCAGAACAGGCAGGTAGGGCCTTATAAGTCATAGTAAGGATTTCAGTTTTTACTGAGTGAAATAGGAATCCACTGGAGGATTTGAAGAGAGAAGCAGCATGTTCTCGCTGAAGTTTTAATGTGATTTCTCTTGGGAACAGACAACAAAGTAGAAGGTGGGGTGAGGGCACAAGGACAGGAGACTGGGAAACCTGTCAGGAGGAGGTTATAATAATCCAGACAAGAGATACTGTGACATAAACCAGGGTTTTTTGTCTAGAATTCCCAAAGCATGCTGGCTTGGATTCCAGGTCCCCAAGGAGGGCAGTCTGAGAGTACACCGAAGTAGTTCTTTCTGGTAGAAAAATGAGTGGGGTTAAGATGGAGGAAGTGGAAGCCCAGAAGTTCAACAAATAAGAAGGGAAGATGATCCTTGGGACAGAGTAATACAACTATGTTTTGTTGTATTGTGAATTTGATGTAAATAATAAGTAACAAACCAAAAGTGTATCATTCAAATCAATATTTATCTTTTTTTTTTTTTAACAGATATACCTAATATCAGGAGTTTGTACCCAAAATATAAATGAAAGGATCTAAGAACTTTCAGCTAGGATCTTAGGCTAAAGCCAGTACTAAAAATATTCTACATCTCAAACGCTTCAAGAGTATAGAGGCAGTGGTTAGCTGCCTATATGATATGATTTGTGAGAAACCAAGGAAGCCCTGACTCAAAAAGAAAAAGTTCTACCACAGCTTCCTAACAACTAAAATCCCATTAAGAGTATTCTGGCAACATGTTTTGTCTTCTATTTAAACCCCAAGTATTATCCATAGAAGGAAAACATGCTAAATTTTTATCAAATATTTAAATGTTACTCTAAATACTTTTACCAGCTTTCTTAGTGAGGCTAGATCCAGAAGGGGATGGAAGGAAAACAGGCAGTTCTAAGAGAGTAAAGGAAAGAGATAAAACCAATGGGAAGGGCAGGGAAAGTAGAGGAAGAGGAAGGAAATCCATGTGCAATTCAAGTTTCTCTTTTACAGAGCCATGTCTCCTGTCCCCTCTTGTTTCACTGAGCCATGCCTCCTGCCCCCCCCCCTTGTTTTACAGAGCCATGTCTCTGTCCCCCTTTGTTCTCTGTGCACTCTAGAAAGCAAACAGACAGGCATACAGGCAGTGGGAGGAAAGAAGAATGCGGCATCTTTTATTCTTGCAGCCACTGATTCCTAGAGAGGTAGATACCCAATGTCCAGAGAGTGAATTTAAGATGCAGGGAGTAAAAGGTAAGTATGTATAGCTGTACAACTGCTCACTGCCTCTAGATTTGCGCACATTCTCTGATGGGTACTCTTGTTGGCCAACCCAGGAATGGGTCTCATATTTGTGAGTAGGCAGTCCAGTCTGATGGGGATGTTCAAAGACCTATGCTGGTTGAAAAGATTAAAATAGCTGTAGTCTCAAAAAAATTAAAAAAATAAAAAAAAAACCCGAATGCCTTAAAGAGTGCCAGTTTTACAAGATGAAAAAGAGTTCTATATTCAAGTTGCACAACAATGTGAATATACTTAATGCTACTGAACTGTACATTTAAAAACAGTTGAGATGATAAACTTTATGTTGTGTATACATTATCACATTTTCTTTAAAAGAAAACTTTAACTCTTTCTCCATCAGAGATCTAGTAGGAGGTTTTAGAACCCAACACCCTTTGACAGGATGAAACAACAAACCCTCACGTGGCATCTAGAGAGGTAACTAAATACAAATAATTAAAGTTTTAAAGACATTACTTTTCAGATTCAAGCTGTTCTTTCTTCTGCTTTAGATCCTCTTCTGTTATCCCACCCAAATGTTTATAGTTGCTCTCAGCAATTTCCAGAAGGTGTCTCAATTCTGTAATTTTGTTATAAGCTCTTACTGCAAGACACAATAAGAACCTAATTTAGACGTGTAACAGCACATATGCTCAGAGTCATGGTCCTCTCAAGCATTTTCTTTTGAGCCACCTGCCTGTGTGGTTTGAGAAGGCAGTTGAAGAAAGGGTGATATATATACAGAGGATAAAACATAAGTGACAGAATAGTTAGATGAGCAAGCAATAAAACACCTAAACATAGGGTTCTTACTCTGCTATTGGAGCATATATCAGACTATTATAACTATTAATGCTATGGACAAGAAGGTTTAAAGAAAACTAACAGTAGTATATTACATGACTATGTATTATCCACTATACATTAGAAAATCAGAAGAAATTAAATGTTTTATTAATTTAAAATAACCTAGAATTAATCCATTCCAAATTTTGGTCAGTCACTTGTAATATCTATGAAAGAGAATACTGAGAGGAAGAAGTATTAGTTTCAATCATCCTTCAACTACCAAAACTATGATTTTTCTTTTCATCCTTAAAGATAGTGGGTCTCAACCTTGAGTGATTTTTTTCCCCCCTCAAGGGACATCTGGCAGTGTCTGGAGACATTTCTGCTTATCCCAACTTGGGATTCAGCTACTGGCACCTAATGAGTTCAGGATGCTATTAAGCACCTTATAATGTACAGGAGAGCCCCCTTCAACAAAAGTAATTCTCTGGACCTAAATATCAAGAGTATAAAAGATGAGAAATTCTTTTGTTTACAGGACGAGGTTAGCAAATTACAGCCTCTTTTTCCTAACACCACTCTGATTTATCTATCAACCGATTGGAGCTGCAGGTTCTAAAATACAACCACCAGAATCAACTGCAGTATTTTTTTTAAAAGGTAAATACTTGAAGCCCATCCCAGACCCACAAATTCAGGTATCTGTACTTAATAAACATTCCCCAGATAATTCTGAGGGGCAGATAGGTTTGGGAATCATCAACAAAGTGGTAGAGGAGATTAAGGGGTAAAAAATGCCACATAAGAAAACACTGAAATATGGCTGGGGACAAAAACAATTAAACAAAAACAATTAAAATTATCATGTATTTAAGGAATGTCTATGACGTACAAGATACTAAGAACTTTACCCATTTTAATCTTCAGAGAAATTCTAAAAAGAAATTTTCTCTCTAAATAATAGTGAGTGGCTTGTCACTGAAAGTGACAGGAGGCCAGATGACATGTGATGGGAATCTTGAACCAATTATCAAACCTCAAATGGTTATAGGGCTCAATGATGCCATAGACCTAAACATAATTCACTAAAATGTGCTCTGAACTGAGACCTGTTTCCAGTGACGTCTAGGATCACAATAAATTCAACCAGTCCCCTATTGGTACTCTGGCAAAGAAAGGACCATCTAGTTCTTTGTAGGTTTCCTTGGAATAATATTAAATAGGGATAGTACAATGGCATATGATTTCATATATAGTATCCCTTCACTAGCTGCAATACTCCAGCTGAGTACCAGGGAGTGTCACAATATAGCAAGAATGCTACAATCTCATTTGTATCAAACATACCACAAGGAACTATTCTAGTCATGTTCTCGGTCTTTCCCAAAACATCTTTTTGAAATTTCTTGACAGTGATTTCTTCGTAAGTGTCTTCTACTCAAAAAATTTCATAAGAAACTGAAATCCTACAAGATCAATTACTCATTTCCTGCAGTCCTTTACATTCTCAAAATATCAAACAAAAAGAAACCAAAGCACAAGCAACAACTTATAAAACAGATCAAGTGGCCTTCATCAATATCAAAAACTTTTGCACTGCCAAGGATACCATCAAGAAAGTTAAAAGACAACCAACAGAATGAGAGAGAATACCTTCAAATCATAGGTCAAAAGGGATTTGCATCCAGAAATGCTTTTACGATACAAGAATAAAAAGATAAACCAAGCAGTTGAAAACCAGACCAAGGATTTGAAGAGAATTTCTCCAAATAAAATATACAAGTGGTTAGTAAGCACATGAAAAAAAGACAGTCAATATCATTAGTCATTAGAGAAACACCAATTAAAACTACAATAAGATACCACTTCACACCCACTAAAACAGATATAACCATAGACAAATAACAACAAATGTTGGTAAGGGTGTGGAGAAATTCAAGCACTCAAAGATTGCTGGTAAGAATGTAAAATGAGCTTTACTAGTAGCATGAAAAACATGTTGCATCTTCTTATCTGACATTATCACTTTAAACATGGAAAAGTGGTTTTTATTTATTTTTTTAAATACTATTCCTTGAAGACCAGCAGACTGACATTTTTTTTTAAATAACTTTATTTATTTATTTTTATGTGGTGCTGAGGATTGAACCCAGGGCTTTATACATGTGAGGCAAGCACTGTACCACTGAGCCATAACCCCAGTCCCTGGAAATATGGTTTAAAAAAAAAAGTAAAATGGTGCAGCTGACTTACAAAACATTTTGGCAGTTTCTCAGAATGTTAAACACAGAGTTGCTAGATGACATAGAAATTCCACTGCTGGGTATATACCCAGTAGAAATGAAAATATATTTCCACCCAAAATAGTGTACATGAATGTTCATAGCAGTATTATTCATAATGGCCAAAATGTGGAAACAACTCATGTCCATCAACTGATGTGTGTGTGTGTGTGAGAGAGAGAGAGAGAGAGAGAGATATCCATCTGAAAATAGATAATTTTCATTTAGCAATAAAAAGGAATGAAGTACTAACCCATGTTACAATGTGTACACATGTTGAAACACTGTTAAGTGAAATAAGAAGCCACATATGGTGCAGTTCCATTTATGTAAAATGTCTAAAATGGGCAAATCTATTGATTCAGAAAGTAGATCAGCAGTTGAGGGTTAAAAAAGTGTGACTACTGGTAGGGAGGGATGAGAGTTCTTTCTTTTTTTAAATATTTTTTAGTTGTAGTTGGTACTCTTTGCCAGAGTACCATACCTTTATTTTATTTATTTTTATGTGGTGCTGAAGATCGAACCCAGTGTCCCGCATGTGCTAGGCAAGCGCTCTACCACTAAGCCACAACCCCAGCCCCGAGAGTTCTTTCAGAGGTGATAGAAATAACATAAAATTGTGGTGATTATTTGTAAACAAATATGTGAATACACTACAACCATTTTATGGTATACCTTAAATGGGCAAATGAAATGGTATATGAATTATATTTCAATAAGCTATTTAAAATAAAGACGTTAGGAAACTCTAAAGAGACTGTTAACTCTCAGCACCACCGTTGGGGGATCTCAGCATCTTCAAGTTCTCCATTGATTAGATTCACCAGGAAAGAGTCTTCCACTCTCCCTGGAGAGTAAGATTCTTCCCCACAGTGTTCTGGGAGTTCTTAAAATTTTTTTCAAAGAAAGAAGAAATCCATGAATTAGAAATAAAAAAAAAAAATACAGTGTGGGTAAACTTGGTCTTTCTGGCAGAATAATTGAAAACACCCTACAGAGATCAAAAGAAAAGAAACTGACATTTTTGAGCCTCTAACATGGGTTAGGCACTTTCCATCCTCTAGTGTGTTAGCAATTCCATCAGGTAATACAATATTAACATTCTAATTTTCATAGATGAGAAAAGTGAGGCTTCAAAGAGTAACACAGCTAAGAAGTGATCAAGCTCTAGTATCTGAATTCACTGCCGAACTCTATTCACCCACTACACATGCCTTTGTTTTGGTTAGCCTCAGTTCAGATTCTTTTCACCCTTCTTCTAGGAAAGAGCTCCACAGAAACAGTTCTTATTCATTAGTACAAACCATGGCTCTCTGACTAAATATCACGAGAAGTAAAATTACAGTTATATGGCATGAAATTATTCCTTTCAGGAGCCAATGTATGTGGTGACCAGAAAGAACACTGGAAAAGGAAGTCTGAAAGACTTGCTTCCAGCTGCTGTGTGATTTTGAGTAACTAACTTAGTTTCTCTGAACCTCGGGCTCTTTATTCATCAAATTATATTATACTAAATGAGTGCTTCTTAAAATATAAAACAGAGATATTAAAGAGTTGTAAAAATTGTAGAATATTATAGAAATGTAAACCATTATTATTAGAATTTTATAGAATAAAAATTTTGACAGGAGAGTTATATACCAGTAGCTGAACCATCAGCAGAAATGATACCAAAATTAAAGGTTTCTCCCAATACTAGAATTTAATTCCATAAAAAACAAAACACTAAGAAAAGCTATTGTCCTTCTGGCTTTAGGGTATACATTTGCATCAACCTAATAACACATCCCCTAGAGAGAAAAAAGCACTCCCACTTTCACTTGCTAATTTAGAATACTTATGTTCATCCATTTGTTATGGACTCAATGCATCTCACTAAAATTCTTATTTAAAGCCTTAGCCTCCAAATGTAACCTTATTTGGAGATACAGGTCTTTAGAAAGTAATCATTAAGGTTAGGTGACAGGAGAGTAGAGTAGGGTTCTGGTTCTGTAGATTAGTATACTTCCCCCTCTCTCTCTCCCCATCTCTCCCCTACCTCTCCCCTCCCTCTCTCTCTTTCTCTTTGCCACTTGAGGATGTGGTCATCTCAGAGTAATAAAGAAAGCCCTCACAAAAAGTAATACTGCTGGACTTTGATCTAGGACTTCTAGCCTCTAGAATTATGAGAAAATAAATTTGTTGTTTAACTCACCCAGTCTACCGGTATTTAGTTATGGTGGTGTGAGCACAATAAGATATCATGTAATGGAATAAGACTGTCCTTTAAGTGGTAATCATAAAAATTAAATTTTGGCATATCTCCTTAATGCAATCAGTATAAAATTAAAAGCTAAGGGCCCTGGGACCCCAGGCGCTTCGCTCCCGCAGCGTCTGCTCCCTTCCCGCTCAGCGCCTGTCACTCCCTCTGCACCTGTGGCCCGTCGAGGAGGTCCCTTTGTGTCCCCACCCTCACCCTCGCCCGCCCGCCACGCCACGCTGGGCCTGTCCCGGTGCGTGTTGGGAATGCCGCGAAATAAACCCTTGCTCTTCACCAAAAAAAAAAAAAAAAAAAATTAAAAGCTAAAACTCTTTCATGAAATAATAAGGGAGGTTATTAACCTTGTTGTGAGAATCAAAGAGTAGATGATCAACAGTTCCATACTTTTAAAAATAAAAAATTAACAAAAATGGCATATTATTGGCATCAAAAGAGACATGATGATGAATGGTACAGAAGACGCAGAGACAAACCCACATAAGTACTAGTCTCATACTAGTCAAAGGTGCTATAAACATACATTGGAGAAAAGATAGCCTCTTCAACAAATGGTGCTGGGAAAACTAGAAATCCATATGTTGCAAAATGAAATTAAACCACAATCTCTCACCCTGCACAAAATTCAGCTCAAACTGCATCAAGGACCTAGGCATTAGACCCTAGAAGCAGGAAATAAATTATATATATATATATATATATATATATATATATATATATATATATATATATATATATATATATATATATTACCTTAAAGGGAAACACATAATTGTAAAGTAAGCTCCTATGAAATGGTGATAAAGGCCTCTACTATAAAAACACTGAAGTAAAACAAGAATGGAGAATCCCAGTGTCAGTGGTAGTTACAGGTCTACATCAGGAAATCTGTGCAGATATGCTGCATCTACTCTTAAAAATTCTAATTTAGTATCTGTGGCAAATTTAAATTATATTGTAGGGCTGGGGCATGGCTCAGTGAAAAAAAATGCTTGCCTAGCATGTGCCAGGCCCTAGATTCAGTTCCCAGCACCACAAAAAAACAAACAAAAATAAATAAATGAATATCAGAAGATTCATCCATTTGATGAATATGTTCTCTTCCCACCTAATTGATACCCAAACTGAAATGTTTTGCTCTTCCCCAGTCTTTTATCTATGAAGCAGCTACAGTATTATTGTTTTAAACATGAATTAGGTCACATTATTCATAACCCCAAATCCCACCAATGGCTTTCTATCTAAAATAAAATCCAAATATACCCAGCAGCACAGAAGGCTGAGGAAGGAAGATTGAGAATTCAAAGCCAGTCTCAGCAAAAGTGAGGCTCTAAACAACTCAGTGAGACCCTGTCTCTAAATAAATTTTTTAAAAGGGCTGGGGATGTGGCTCAGTGGTCGAGTGCTCCTGAGTTCAATCCCTAGTACCAAAAATAAATTTAAATCTAAAGTCCTTATTAGATCCTTAATGATTTTGTTGGGCCCATGCTTACCTCTCCAACTTTATCTGCCACCAGCTCCTTAATGATTTTTCTCCAGCACCCACTAATCACACTCAATACACTTATGATCTTACATATACTGCTCCCTCTGCTTGGAATGTTCTTCTGAGACCTTCATGTGGTTCACTCTGTGGTTCATGTGGTTCATTCAGGTCTCTTCTCAAATTTTACCTCAAAGAGCTATCTACAGGACCACCCTACCACACTACTTTATTTTATTTATGCATATATTTTCTTATCAATTATTTGTTACCCTTCCCTCTGAGAACCCCACCAGAATGTAAATTCCTCTGCATTCTTTATTATTTCTCCAATAACTAGTCCATATTAGATAATCAATAAATGTTTTATATTATCATTTGTAAAAATTATCAGCCAAGGAACCATGGAAATCCTTGCATTATCTTTTCCCCTATTTCTTATGATACACTCAAAGATTTTTTTCTTTTATGTAACTTTCTCCACTTTAGGGACAACAACCAGGTCTTAGACTTCTACATATATTCACAACCCAACCCAAGAATAAAAACTTATATTAGTTCTGGCTCCCCAAGAACATTAAAGTACTTTATATATAGTAATTGTTTTTAGAATAACATCCATGGTAATAAGTGGCTATGGTATTTCTGAAAAGATAACACACAACAGAGGTGGCATACTTACTTCTAGCATCTGTTTTATCTGATTCACTCAGACTTAAATCATCCTTGGCATCAGTGCTTCCCTCAACACCATGCCTTACAAAAAACTTGAGATCATTTTCATCAATATCATACTCATCATCTATATCATATTTCTGCAGCCCCTCTAGTAGCTTCACTGCTGCCAAGTGGGCAAATCTGTAGAAAAGAATTAATAATTAACCAGATGCACAATCTTCAAATTTAAATTGCAGTTTGCTCTTAATTTAGGCAATTCTACTCTGAATGTTCTTCCATCAACCCACCCACACTAGTCAAGAAGAATGTTTGTATTTGAAGGTCAGATTTAATATACATTCAATTTTGTAGGAAACTCAAAACAGTTACTGGACAAAAAAGACAAGTACTCATATTTAAAACAGATTCCATAAGTTTTCCTGGCAAAATCTCACTGGGAAAGGAGATTCACTATCAAAAGAATAATTTGGTAGGATATGATATGTCAAGAGCTTTGTAATGTTTTGAACAACCAATAAAAAAAAAAAAAGAATAATTTGGTAGGCCCCCAAATAGAACTACTTAACTCAGAGAGCACAAAACTATCCTAACTTCACTCCCTGTCTTTGCTGCCTTTTATTGGCCCAATTTAGATTGTAAAATTAATTCTGGTTCCAGATTTAGTTCTACCCTCATTAATCTATCCTTCCTCGACCCAAAGCATTTGCATGGCTTGAAATTTAGTAGAAAAATAATGACCTTCCCATTGACATTTTCTATTCTCTTCACTCTTTCTCATGTCTCTGCAAAGCTTTCTGCAATATACTCTTGGTTTGGGAGCTTCTGTTGTTGTGATTAGATGTAATCTGCATATTTTTTCCACAATTTTGCTAATTGGAATATTTAGTACTTTATCTTAAGACATAAAGAATTACTAAACACAAAATCTTTCCCCATATTTACATAACCATACACACATACAAACATACATACATCATTATCTTTTATCAGGTACTACAAACCATTTAAACACATAATAATAAGGGTTAGGGGTGTAGCTCAGTGGTAGAACACTTGCCAAAGACACATGCATGAATCCATGAGTACTTGAGTATAATCCCTAGCACCACCAAAAAAAAAATTTTTAAAAAATAACAGTAATAAAACTCACATAGAAAATTGTAAGGTTATCAGAATTCACTATATCTACTACTAAGCCATTAATTTAACAACTATCATTTACTGAATGTTTATGTTAGATTCAAATTTATCTTTGTAATAACACTATTTTTCACACCTAGAATTTTAGTGTATAAATGAAAAATGTGAACCCAAAATTACAGATAGCTCCAGATACAGCCATGGTACTCAATCACCTATGTGATAATCATATAAAAACTGATATATAGACCTAGATAAAATAGACAAAACAGTTCAGAAATAAGCCCACACATACATGAACAACTGATTTTGACCAAGGCAAAAGGCAGTGGAAAAAGGACACTGCACTTTTCAACAAACAGTGTCAAAACAAATGAATATGAGTATACGAAAAATAACTTAGGATGTACTCATCATATTTTTTAAAACCAACTTAAAATGAATCATAGACCTCAAAGTCCAAAATTATACAACTTCTAGAAGAAAATCTTTGACTTTGTACTAATCAAAGATTTCTTTAACACCAAAAACATAATCCACTAAAGGACAAATAAAAAAAAAAAAAAACCCTGCTCTTCAAAGATATTGCTGAGGTAATGAAAACACAAGTTACAAGTAGGGAAAAAAATCTGCAAAGCACATTATCTGAGAAAGAACTAACATCTAGATACATATGGAACCCTTAAAACTCAACAATAAGAAAATAATACAATTTTTAAAAGTAAATAAAACCATCATTTTATATAACTAATAACAATTTAAAAAAATGTGGGGGAAAAAAGTGGACAAAAGATTTGAAGAATCACTTTACCAAAATAAACAGATGGCAAATACATAATAAAAGGATTCTCAAAACCATTTTTCTTTAGAAAAATGCAAATTAAAATGACAATGAGATACCACTGTCATACCTATTTGAATTATGAAAATCAAAAATCTGATAATATCAAATGTTGGTGAGAATGTGGAATAACAGAAACTCTCATTCATTGCTGGTGGAAATGTAAATAGGTACAGTCATTTTAAAGCCATGTAGGCAATTTTTTAATTAAAGTTAAACATACATTTAGCATGTGGCCCAGCAAGCCTACTTCTAGGTGTTTATCTAAGGGATTAAAAAGTTATACGGACACAAAAAAACAAGCATATTAATATTCATAGCAACTTTCTTCATAATCACCAACAAATGGATACAGTCGAGATGTCCTTCAATGGGTGAATAAACGATTGAACTACAGAATACTATGGAATTCTACATACAAGGAACACTCAACAGTAAGAAGAAAACAAACTATGACATAGCTGGGTTTCAAAATACTTATGCTGAGTGAAAGAAAACAGATATGAGTACAAGTTAAGTACCACATAACAACACTGATCATCAACAGACTGCCTATACTTTGGTGGTCTCATAGTATTAAACAGAGCAGAAAATTTTCTACCATCTAGTATTTTTCTGTGTACTCTTTTTCTAGGACCTTTTCTATGTTTATGTTGTGTTACAATTGCCTATGTTGTTCAATATAGTAACATGCTGCACAGGTTTGTAGCCTAAGAACAATAGGCTATACCATGTAACCTTAATGTATAGTATAGTAAGCTATACCATCTTGGTTTATGTGATTTATCTCAGATTGTCTCCCCACCATTAAGCAACACTTGACTGTATACATATGATTCCATTTATATAAAATTTTATAAATGCAATTTTATCTATGATGAAAGAAAGCAGATCAGTGTTTGCTTTAGGAAAGATACTTTGGCACTGGGAAAGAGATTATGAAGAGGCAAAAGAAGACTTTCAGAGGTGATGAGTATGTTTACTATCTCAATTATAGTGATGGTGTCTACATATATAAAACTTCATTTTATACTGTACAATTATGTGCATTTTATTATATGTCAGTTATGTCTTGATAAGCCTATTTTTAAAAAATAAAAATACACCTGGCACTGGGGTTGTGGCTCAGTGGTAGAGTGGTTGCCTTGCAAGTGTGAGGCACTGGTTCTATCCTTAGCACCACATAAAAATAAATAAATAAAATAAAGGTACTAAAACTATTTTTAAAAATAAAAATAAAAAAATACACCTGAATTGGAAATGATCCCAGGTACATGATACAATAAAATCATATTCCAAGGCATCAAAGAAACACCACAGATAAAATTTTTTTAAATGAGCACACAAAAAAATCTGCAATTATTTAGAGAATGACTGCACCCAAGCATCAGGTCAAGCATCACCTTCCACTGTTAGCCCATATTCACACTTTACATTCACGGAGTTCTGAACCACAAACATACATGATGTTATCTTATAACTCCTCCTCCCCTGACCTCTATTTAAATTCTGTCCCCCTATAGTTTCCTTCATAACTCTTACCATCATATGTAATGATGTAAATGTCTCTCACATACATACATACATACACACACACACACACAAAACTTACAAACAGGAAGGCTTGGGCCTTCCTTGTTTTTTCTCACAATATTAGGGATTGAACCTAAGTTACATCCCAGTCCTTTTTGTTTATTTATTTTTTTATTTTTGAGACAGGGTATTGCTAAGTTTCCCAGGTTGCCTCAAACTTGCAATCCTCCTGCTTCATCCTTTTGGAGGATTTCATATGTTCTTACAGCACCTTTACACAGTATATAATATGGTACAAGGATGATAATTAATAAGAACTTTTGTTTGAATATTTTCTCCCCACATTACTAATAGCTCCATGATATCAGGGGTTGTTTTCTCATCTTTATAATCTGACTAACCATCTGGGTCATAGTAATAGACTAGTAGTAGAATGAAAGAAAAATCAAATGAAAAAATGAATGTGTGTAAATATTCCTTGAAGATCTGACCTGAATGAGCTGGTAGTGTTTAATAATAGGTGTTATATTTAATTCAATTATAAATCCTAAAATACATTTAAAACCCCTTGTAATTTCCTTTTGTATTATTAATGTTAATTATTTCTTTTTATCACACTAGTACCACAATATATCTTAAAAGGTTACTACAGACACTTGGGCAGGACAATTCATTGTACACTACTATTCTGAACACTGCAGAATATTTAGCATTCCTAGATCTGAACCCATTAAAGATTAGTGATGGTCATTCTAACAGTCACTGTGACAATCCTCCCCTTGATTTCTAAATACCCTCCTCCCAGGAAAGGAGACAAATGTTACTTTCCAGGTGAGAATCACAGTCTTAAAGAAAGGAACTAATACAATAGCAAATGTCAATTCAGCTTGAAAATTGTGACTTCATCTGCATTTGAATGAATCTTTGAATTTTATTTAATTCCATTAAATCCTCAGATGTTTCTAAATAAGAAGGTATAATTAAAACTTTAAAAACAAAAGAAAGGAACAAAGGAGATAGGGATCTATACCTCTTAGCCACATCACTGGGTGTCTCCCCTGCTTTGTTAGTAATATTACTGTCTGCTCCCACTTTAATTAACCACTGCAAACATTCTATGTGGCCTTGTCCAGCAGCTGTTTTAAAAATAAAATAAAATAAAAGGAAACAAACAAGAAATACAGAAAAAAGAGTTGTTATTAATAACAATTTCAAAAATTAGGGACAATCCTATTATACTTTTTTATGTTTTTTATTGTTGTTGTTTCACTGGTACTAGGAATTGGACCCAGGGGTGCTTAACCACTGAGCCATATCCCTGGCCCTTTTTAAAAATATTTTAATTAGCGATAGGATCTCACTAAATTGTTTAGGGCCTTACTAAGTTGCTGTGGCTGACTTTCAACTTGTGATCCTCCTGTCTCAGCCTCCCAACACTCTGGGATTACAGGCATGTGCCACAGCACCCAGCTAGAGGACTTTCTTAAGTACTGATCCTTGTAGTAACTAAGAAAAGAAGATTAAGCAAATATTATTTGCTGTGTTTCCTTTATTTATTTTTTAGACACACATGTAATCAAATATATACTGTACTTAGTCTCTACATAGAGAATTTTACTTACAGACATAAAACATGAAGCTCAAAGATGGTTTTGTTGTTGTTGTTGTTTTGTGTGTGTGTGTGTGTGTGTGTGTGTGTGTGTGTAGGGGAGGTACAGGGATTGGATTTATGGGGCACTCCACCACTGAGCCACATCCCCAGCCCTATTTTGTATTTTATTTAGAGACAGGGTCTCACTGAGTTGCTTAGCACCTTGCTTTTGCTGAGGCTGGCTCTGAACTTGAGATTCTCCTGCCTCAGCCTTCTGAGACACTGGGATTACAGGCTTGCACCATCACACCTGGCTCAAAAATGTTATTTATTTAACATCACATAGCAAAGAATTAATGAATTTGAAGCTAGAATCCAGTTTTTTATAATCCTTACCCAAATGCTTGTCACCTACAATAGAACTCCTACCCAATCTTGTATGACACCAGAATATGAGTACATGCCAACCACTGAGACCTATACAGATTTTTTCAGAAATCTTACTCCATTATTTATGTGTTATTCCTCCAACTCTCACAACTCACAATTAGTAACCTCTTAAACCATACTTATTATATGAACTGTTATCACCTTTGTCTAAATCTTGTCTTCAAAATATGTGCTGTCTATATTAATTTTCACTCCACAACTCTGCTCTTCCCACTCCAAAGCCCATCACTAAACTGTGTGTTCATTTAATTTCTACCCATTATTCTTGGTCCATTCAAAGGCTCAGGAAAGCTTTGGAAAATAAGCTTGATAAACCTGAATTTAAGTCTACTAAACAATGAGACTTGAGAATAGGACTGTAGTCTTCATCCCCAGAACACACCAAGTAGCTAGCATATATGCTCAATAAATGTCTATGGAGTTCATGAGTGAATTAATGCATGAAAAAAATGAATGCAATTCTCAGCTTTGCTCTTACTAACTACATAACCTGAGTCAAGGTACCTGACCTTTCTTAACCTCAGTTTCCTCTTCCTTTACAGAGACGATGTTTTATTTATAAAGAAAGCATACTGCTATTTCATAAAATTACAATAAATATTAAAATATAATAAGAGCTTTGCATTCTGTTAGGTGTCATATAAGCATCAGGTATCATTACTAAATCCCCATGGATACTTCTTCAATAATTTGATCCTTACCAAATTTTTCTGTCCCTCAACTCCTATTCCCAAATTCCTATCATGTGTATTTTAACAGCCAATTTTTTGCCACTAATTACATCCCATAAATCTCAATTTTTTTCATGGGATAAGTCTGTAGCTCCTTAACAGAAAGGCCTGGCATTCTGTCTTCAGAAAACAGACACATAGTTGGTGCTGAATATATAACTATTACCTTATAAAATTATTGGTACATATGGTGCTTAGATTCTATACTTGGGGTGCATTATAGATCAAACAAAGTTTAACAAACTAAAAATCTAACCAATGGGAAGATAATATATGATTTGGGGATGTCCAAAAGTTATTTATGAAATAAAGTTCAATTTAAACACATGATTATATTAGCAAGCCTACTATCTTTTTTTCCTAAGAGCTTCACAAACATCACCTTCCATCAGATCATGAAGAAACTTTTAACACAATACTAGAAATAAAACAGAATGGAAGTTTCAAGCATAATGGGTTCCAAGATTTTATTTTTGGCTAAAACCAAAAGGGGAGTTTAACAAACATAATTTCTAGAATCTCAATACCAAGTTGAAAATTTGACAAAGTATGATTAAAAACCAAAAGAACTCTAATCAACATTATAGAATTTCACGTGGAAGGAAGGACAATAAAGTGGCAGAGTACCTTTGAAATATGTTCAAATCTAACAAAGTTTTTACTTCTATGGAAGTAAAAAAAATTTTTACAGGTCTAAAGAACAAAATGCTGCTATAAAATTTTTCAAGAAATATATTTCCATTTTAGCACCAACTGACAGGCTCATTTTAAATATGTTAAGAAATTTGTCTAGCCATGCATTTCACATCTTCACTAACATTATAATGTCACAATAGAAATTTCATTGGAATGACCTTACATGTGACAATGTGTAGGTGTCTGGCATCATAAAAGGTTCAAAACACTTGAATTGAAAATCAGTCATTCTGATTTTCATAGCTTTTTTATATGAAAGTCATATAACGTAGACTTATACTGCTAAGATATAAAGAATAATTTTCATATTTTTCATGTGTTTCTGATGGATAATTACTTCAAATAGCAATAACTCAGCTGCAATTGTTATCAGAACTAAAAATGAGTGGGAATATAATAGTTCACCTTTATGCATAGGAGTGGATCCAGTATCATCACGTTCATTAAAATTGATTACTCCTTCTTCTACTAATTTCTTAAGCATTTCCAAATCACCCTTAAAGGCAGCCACATGACCTGGAAATGCTAATGCTGTCGAGAAAAAAATTCAACATTTAAGTAAACACATGAATTATTCTTTTCCCTTCCTTAAGCTGTCATATATTTCAGGTTCCAATATTATCTCAAATGTGAGGTTTTTATATTAGAATGAGTTCAGCTGATGTGTGGCAAGTAATAAAAAGAAAATTATAAAATAAGATTATTACCAGTTGTGCTACTCTTCCTCTCCTCCAGACTTCAAACTTGCCAAAAGTATTGAATCAGATATATTACTAGTCATATTCCCTTTCTCCCTCATCCCACCACAAAACACAAAAGGATGGTCATTTCAACTCTTTGCATGAAGACACAGGTCTCAAGGCCTACATATGCATAGACCATTCCCTCTTTTGCTTGCATTAAAGTGAAGATACCGAAATATCCTGACAATGGATAAGAAGTATGTGTGTTCCTATGTATATATGTATGTATAAATAAATATATATACTCATACATACAAACACATGTATGTAAAAGTACCTAACCTGGTGCCTTGAACATAGATGCTTGATAAAATGTCTTGAATTATAAAACTATATATAGTGAACCCTTGCTAAATGCCAGGCACAGTAGTAAGCACTTATAAGAATTAATAATAGACAAACACACACATTTATGGCAACTGGTTTTTGATAAAGGGGCTAAGACATTTCAATAAGTAAAAGGGAGTAAAGGAAAAGTAAATAGGTAAAGTCTTTCCAAAAAATAAGGCTGGAACAACTGATTATGCATAGTTTAAAAAAACAAATTGACACATTTCATTCTATATACAAAATTAAATTGAGGTCTAAATGAAAAAGTTAAAACAATAAAGATTTCAGAAAAAAATTAGGAAAATAGCAAATTGATCTTGGGACAGGCAAACATGTCAAAATAGGACCACAAAACACTATCCCAAAAAATCAATAAATTGTACTTAGTCAAAACTTAATACATTTTCTCTTTGAAAAACACCATTTAGAAAACAAAAAGGCAAGATTTGAATGGGAAAATATTTGTAATTCATATACCTGACAAAGAAATCGCATCTAGAATATGCAAAGAACCCTGAACACTCAATAGTAAGCAAAAAACCAACTCAATTTGTGGTGGGGGTGGGAGGGTTAACCAGGCATTGAACTCTGGGGTACTCAACCACTAGGCCACATCCCCAGCCCTATTTTGTATTTTATTTAGAGATAGGGTCTGAGTTGCTTAGTGTCTCGCTTCTGCAGAGGCTGGCTTTGAACTTGAGATCCTCCTGCCTCAGCCTCCCAAGCTGCTGGGATTATAGCCATATGCCACCATGCCCAGCCCAATTTTTTAAAATGGGCAAAAACAAAAACTAAACAGATACTTCATAAAAGAAGATATATGATTAATCAACAAGCATAGGAAATATGTTCATCATCCTTAGCTAAAAAAGAAATGTACTTTAATAAACAATAATGCTACATATCCATTTGAATGACTAAAGTAGAACAGACTTCCCAAGTGCTGACAGAATGTGGAGAATATGAAATTTTCATATATTTTTGCTCAGAGATAAAAAATAGATATGACTACTTGGAAAATATTCTTATGGCTTCTTAAACAATAAACATACACCTACCATACATTCTACTCCTGGGTATTTACCAAAAGGAATGCAAATATGTGTCTACAATTCATGGCAATTATTAATTATACGCCAAAACTGGAATCCATACAAAAGCTCAGCAACAGGTAAATGGATAAACACAATGTAATACAATGGTAACCAAAAGGAATGACTTATTGGTACAACAAGGATGAATCTCAAAATCACTGATACATAAAACTCTAGAAAATGTAACATAATCCATAATGATAAAAAAGTAGACTAATGGTTCTATGGGGTCAGGATACAAAGAGGGATGAACTTGAAGAGGATATGTAAAAAAACCTTTGGGGTGATGGAAATGTTTGTACCTTTATGGTTGTGGTGAATTCATGAGTATATATTTATGTCAAAATTCATCAAAATGCATGTTTTAATACAATTTAAGTAAATTACTCTCTAATAAGATTGATTTTTTTTTAAAGGACACCATAATCAAAGTGAAAAAAACAAGCCACTTGAGAGAAAATATCTGTAGCAGATAAAAATCAATACATGATTGGTTTCAAGACTATACAGAACTCAAATTATTTAGAAAATAAAAAAGAATGAAATTTTTAAGAAAGGAGAAAAATATAGGTAGGCAATTAAGAAACTTTAATATATATTTTAATATGCATTATATAACTAAAATATAGTATCATAGAATGAAATGATAAACCCAAAATAATAGTTCACTCTTGAGGAGAAAAAAAAGGTAATGGTATTATGGAGAGAGAGAGAGCCAAGTAACTTCAACTTCCTAATATTTTCTTCTTAAATTTACTGATATAAATAGCACTCTTTATATTAATCTCTATACACTTTGTCAATAACTTTATGAAAAGATGTTCAGCCTCATTCATAATCAAGAAAATGCAAATCAAAACACAAATTAAACCTTTTCATACCCAACTGCTTGGTAAAAGTTGAAAGTCTAATAATAGATATATTGTGTTTTTCTACATCCTCACCCCAAACTGCTGGAAATAGGGTAGATTTTAACCATTTTCATGAAGAAAGTAGCAATACTTTTTATATTGAAAATGGGCATATCCCACCAAGCAAACCTAAAGTAAAGTTTCCCAACTATTTACCAAGACTCTTCATAAAGGTAACAATTTACAAGGTACTTGGCTTTCCAACTTTTTTACCATGGCACCCTAGCACCATAAAAGCAGAACTGAGTTTTCTGAAAAAATAAGAAAGACCTTAAGAAGATTCATCCAATGATCCCAGCTTGCCATGCAAAGATTATCACTTCCTATGTAGGCTGTGTGTGAAAAATGTAGGGAAACACATCTCTAAGGAAACTTATAAACAAAACTAAGGAGAAATATACAAAAATATAATAGTAAAACCTTTGTAAGCAACCTACATGGCAAATGGAGACTGAACATATCCATTAATATAATAATTTCAAAAACACAAGATTTTATGAAAAAATAAAGTCATGGAAGGCTATGTACTTTTTATGCCATTTTTTAAAGGTTTTAAAAGAAATTTCAAAGACTGCTAGTTGTCCACCAAAATACTCTTCCTTCAGTAGCTTTAGAGTTGCTGCTGAGATGAGACTTCCCAGCTAGGTAATGAAATATCCAGGCTTCCTTAAAAGCTATTTATGTAAATACAGACCACATGATGTCTATAAAAGAAAAAAAAAAAGCTATTTATGGCCATGTGACTAATTTTCCAACTCAGTGTTAGCAATCTCCAACTTGGAAATCAGTGGTCCTAGGCTTATATCATGTTCTCTTCCCCTCCCCTACCATCTCACCCCTGCTTGATTAGCAAAAACTAGAGGGAGTTAATAGCATAGTAGGCTCTGAATAAACAGATATAACAGATTCACTCTTTAACCCAGGCTGTCAAATACAAGAAATAAACTTATATATCATTTAAGTAATTGTATTTTAGGATTTCTTTACTACAACAGTTTAGCCTCTTATTATAACAAATATACAAAATAATACTATATATTTTAATGATATAGTACACACACATAGATACATTCATAATTAAAATATAAAATCAGAGAATGGAATAATAAATCAACATAATATTTTACCCTGGAGGAAGAAGAAAAAATAATAGTGTGGAGAGCCATTCTCATGCATGACTGGGTGACTCCCGGTTTGGGCCTGAGGCTTCTAGCTATGTCGGAATTTTCCCGGCCCTCTCCTGATGAGAGAACCCGTCCGTGTGGGGGTGTGACTGACCACTGACCCCGGGGGCCCAATCACTGACCCTGACCTTGGAGTGCGGCCCCCCCCTCAACCTTCATTGGATGGAATTATCCCCTGAATTTCTTGTTCCCCAATAAAAGGCTACTCCCTGGCATGCTCACTCACTCTCTCTCCTGCTAGCCCCGAGTAATCCTTGCTGCCCTACGGGTGGTTCGAGGTTGGAGCCAGAGAGGGGAGCCGTCTCAGACCTGGTCATAGAAAAAGGTAACTGAGTCTGTGTGTTTTATTTCGATCTCTGCTAGCTAACTTTTATGCCAAGAACCTCATTAATGAAACCAATGTGCAGGCCGCATGGTGGATAATAGTATTACAGAGAGAAGTTCAAGAGATTTCAAACTCTGTAATATTTTATTCTTGAATTCAGTAATAACAGTGTTCCTTATGTTATCTCAACATACTTTTGTCTAAACTATTTCATAATAAATAGTCTGGATTAATGTTTGAACAATGATATATTACAAATTTTAATGAAACATGTGCCTTATAACTTCTTTTCTTTTCCCATTTGATTCTATTTATTATTACCATTATATTATAATAATATTTTCAGGTTAATTACTTACTTTCTTGATCTCCTAAATCATTTCCTTCATATTTAGCCCCCTGGATAAACTGTAAAATATTGTGTTTAAAAAACCTCTGGGCCAGGTCCAATACATTTTCTCCATTATCATTGAAGGCTTTTAAAGCTTGTGTTCCACTATTCATTCTGCTGAGTAGGAATTTAAAACAATGAAGGTGGCCTTCCATGGCTGCTAAGTGAACTATAAGTAAGAGGAAAAAGAACAATATAATTGTAAAATTGAAATTGAAGTAATTTGAAAAAAAATAAATAATATACAAGCTCTAATCCTCATAAGGAAATGACCATCTCTGCCTCATATGACAGGGACTTTCCCAGAGAAAGGAGAACAGACCTTCTTTCCAGTCTTTATCTCTTTATGCAATCAGCCTTCTCCTCATGAAAAAGCAGTAGACCACCTGGTTGAACAATTACACATATAGACAAGACTTTGTATTACATGCTGTGATATACCCAGAATTTAGAAGAGGGATTTGCATGGAGTAGGTGCTCAATAAATATGTCAAATGATTTTTTTTTAGACATGATTTCACTTTGTTACCCAGGCTGGTCTTAATCTCCTGGGCTTAACTTTTTCTCCTGCCTTGGCCTCATGAATAGCTGGGACTACAGGTGTGTACAATCATCCCAGCTCCAAGTTAATAATTTTTTTGAGAAGGTGGAACACAAGCAGTCTAGTCCCAAGGATGCAGTCTTAATCTCTACATTATACAATTAAAAATATATACTACTGGTTATAAAATAATTAGATATTTAAAGAAACAAAAGTTAGGTTTTTTTAACTGAGACAGCAAAAGACTAATCAAAATAATCAGGCATATTTTGAATAAAACTAACCCCTACCTGCATTACACACAGAAAAGTCAGTTCCAGGTGGACTAGGGATCTAAATATGAAAAGTAAAATAATAAAATTTCTAGAAGATAATATAAACAAATATTTTCATGACCACAGAAGATTTTTTAACAGGATACAGAAAGCACTGGCCATAAAGGAAGAGATTACTAACTAGTTAACATTAAAATTTGGTTTGTGTTCTTCCCTCCTCCCACCCCAGTACTAGGGATTGAACCCAGAGATTGCACTCTACCACTGAGCTATATTCCCAGCCCTTTTTATTTTTTATTTTGAGACAGCGTCTCTCTAAGTTGCCCAGGCTGGCCTCAAATTTATGATCCTCCTACCTCAGCCTCCTGACTCACGGGGATTACAGGCACTTACAATCACACTTGGCCTAAAATTTTAAACTTCTACTCATCAAAAGATACCTTAAAGAGGGCTGGGGATATAGCTAAGTTTGTAGAGTGCTTGCCTTACATGCACAAGGCCCTGGGTTCAATCCCCAGCACCACAAAAAAGAAAAAAAAAAAAGATATCTTAAAGAATAAAAAAGTGATTCAGTCCTTCAATCCACAGTAATACAAAAAGAAAAAATGAAAAGGCAAACCATACAGCAGAAAAGAGTTGCATGAAAAGATACTTGCAACGTATATAGCTGACAAATGGCTTATATCTGTACGGTATAAAGCACTTCTACATTTCAATAAGAAAAAGAAGATGCAACAAAAAATAAGCAAAAGAGTTAAACTAGTATTTCACAAAATAACCGTTAAAAAATGATGTTGCATATTTTTAAAAATTTTTTTGTTGTAGATGGACACCATACCTTTATTTTATTTGTTTTTTTGTTTGTTTGTTTGTTTTGGTTTGGTTTTTTTTTTTTTTTTTTAATGTGGTGCCAGGGATGGAACCCAGTGCTAAGCAAGCGTTCTACCATTGCGCCACAATCCCAGCCCATATTGAATATTTTTAGTCATCAGGAAAACATAAACTAAAGTCACACTGAAAGATTACTATACACCCATCAGAATGACTAAAACTAGGAAAACTAGTAATATCAAGTATTAATGAGAGAATGGAACAACTGAAACTCTTAAACACGTCTAGTGTGGTATGTAAATTGGCACAATTAGTTTGGGAAAGCTAAAGAAGCCAGATATAAAAGAATACCTGTATACTGTTTGATAATATAGAGTTCAAAAAGTAGAAAGTAAAGAAAAAAGGGGGAGGAAGAAGGGAAATATTACTGGATGGTAGTAATATTCTGTTCTTGACCTGAATGACAGTTACAGAGAAGTGTTCATTTTGGAAAATACAATGAGTTGTGCATTTGAATTGGAAACTTTTATAGATGAGTGTTAGTTTAAATTTTTGTTTTTTAAAAAAGTGAGTGAAATAAAAAGTGGGTTTTTTAAATAATTTTTTATTTGTTTTAATTATTTATACATGACAGGAGATCACATTTATGCACTTTGATATATCATACATAGGTGGGATATAATTTCTCATTTTTCTGTGCACATGTTGCAGAATCATATTGGTCATGCAGTCACATATATACATACAGTAATAATGTCTGTTTCATTCTACCATCTTTCCTATCCCCACATCCCCTCCCCTCCACTCCCTTCCCATCACTTCCCTCTACCTAATCTAAGGTAATGCTATTCTTCCCTAGTGTGCCCTACTCCTCCCCCCCACTCTACCCCCCATCCAACCTTATAGTGAATTAGCATCCACATATTAGAGAAAACATTCGGCCTTTGGTTTTGTAAGAAAGCAAATAGGAGATTCAAGATGGCAGGCTAGAAGAAGGCTGGCATTCCTAGACATTGCTTGGCTCGAGATTCAAGCAGCAGGAGTACTGCTTTCTCTGTGAGGTGAGTGAGAGAGAGATTTCAATAAATCTCAAAATTGGATGGTCACAGTGTCTTAGAGATTCAGAAATTTGGGTACATTAAACAAAGAAGAAAGATTATATTGGAAGGGCTGGAGCTGTAGAACAGGCCAAGAATATTTCACCCAGGGGAATTCAAGTCAGTTTTCTTTGCTTTAGCAAAGGGGATCACTTCCCCTTTTGAGTCTGGTGGCTCATGTGACCAGCTAAAGCAGGCTGGAAAACTGAACAGGTGGGAGTTGCATACACTCAGGGACTAAGCCTGGGAAGCCTGGAAAGGCTGTGTTCAAGGGCAGCAGAAGAGGTGAATGATTGGCTCCCTCACCTCATAAGTAGAATCCTAATGAGGCTCTGGAGAGCAATATTCCCAGCAGAGATCAGCAACTTCCAGGGCCTAGGGGTATGTTGATCTAATCTCTCCAGAGCAGACACAAGCCAACAAAGCCCCTGAGGTCTGATTAGAACTAAGCCCCACCTGCTGGAACTCCACATACAGAATTCTGCAGCAACCCCACCCGGGAAGAACATCAATTTGGTCTGTACAGACAAAACTCCAGCTGAGAGTACTTCCCATTCCATCCTACCTCGTACTGGGGAGAAGAGAAGCTGAGAATTATTTGAACCAGCTTCAACCATAGGCCACTCCAACTGGCAGCTTAGTGAGTAACACAAAAAGAAGAAAGGTTTAATAACCCTCAGCCCTTGTTCTTGCACTCAGTACATAACTCAAGAAGAAATGAAAAGACAGTCAGGCATAGATAGTAACCATCTATTCTTATTGACTATTTTGACCACCTCAGTGGAAACAATTCCTTTTTATTATGAATCTTTTTTTCTTTTTGTTTTTGTGCATGCTTTTGCTGTGCTGATTAGTTCATGACATACATGTTTATTTCTTTTTTCAGATTTTTAGCATTTTTTAAATGTTCTTTTTTTCTTTGCCTTGTTATTTTTGTTTTGTTTTGGTACTGGGAATTGATCTTAGGATCACTTAACCACTGAGCCACATATTTTAAATTTTTTAAAATTTGTTATTTTGAGACAGGATCTCACCAAGTCCTCAGGGCTTTGCTAAGTTGCTGAAGCTGGCCTCGAATTTGCAATCCTCCTGCCTCAGTTTTCCAAGCCACTAGATTACAAATATGCACCACTACACCTGGCCTTGCCTTGTTTTTTAAGGGTTAGGGGTTTTGATTAGTAATATTTTGGATTTGTTTTGTATTGTTTTTCATTCGTCTGTTCCTCTTGTTTCTCTTTCTCCTTTTTTCTGCTAACAGCCAAGCCTCTTGTTCTTTCACTCTCCCTTTCCTATGTTACTTCTACTTTTTTTCTCCTCCTTCCTTATAACCATCACAAGCTACATCTTTTCTGCATCTCACTTTTTGAAATTGTAAACTCTTTTCTACCTTCCTATCACATTTTCTTTTCTCTTACTTAACTGTATTCTTACCATCTTTTAGCACTAACTGGCTTATATAACTCCTGTCCCCACCATTAATGCTGTTGCAATGATTATTGCTGTGGATGCCATAGTTGACACTTGTTGTTTGATTTAACACCAAATATAATATATGGTTACTTATTGTTTTTGCTGATGGCAATAACTGACCCAACCATTTCTGGTTTTTGTGGCAATTAACATTGTAGATGCCATAATAGGAATGAAGTATTAGTTTAATGCTGTATATTGTTTGCATAGGTTGTTGCAATTCTTTGTTCCTCCTATGAGATGCTGGGAACCTACAGGGACACTACAATTCACAGGGTAAAACTCTGCTGCTGAACTAAACTCAACCAAAAGACAGATGCACCTCGCTCCATATACAAATTAGTGACAATCTTTAGCTACACTTCAATACAAAGAATGGAAGAGATAAAAACCCAAACTAATGATCAGGCCTGAAGTAAAAATGACTACAGGTGGACACCAACATCTCACCTATGGACATCTATTACTGTAGCCAAAACAGAGAGAAATAACATGATGGCTGTGGATACCTACAAGGGAGTCTCAATCCAGAACACTCTAGGACACTTTGGCAAGTGAAGATTGTGCTCTATCAAGGCCCACACAGAAGAGTGGAGGAGAAACACATTCCAACAGATGCATAAAACCCAATACGTGAAATACAAGTAATATGAAAAAGCAAGCTAACACAATACTTCCTAACATTCATAGTTCACCAGCAAATGACCCCTAAAATATTGAAGTGAATGAAATATCAGCTAAGTAATTCAAAGGAATTATTATAAAAATGATCAATGAATTCTAAAGGAATACAAAAAAAAACAACTGAATGAATTATAGAAGTTTACAGATTATGAATGATAAATTCAAAAAGGAGATAGAAATATTTTTTAAAAAGAACCAAACACAAATCTTAGAAATGAAAGACACAATAAAACAAGTAAAATTTTTACTTGAAAGCTTCTCTAATAGAGTA